ATCTACATCCTGACTTGCATGTCACTTAACCAATGTAAATAATGTTTTATAGAACATCAAAATGGAAATATTGATGCAGTATATGTCATTTTATTATGACAATAAAACTGTCATACATTTCATCTCAGACCTATTTAATAAATATTAAATTTCAACAGTAAGCCTGTAACATTAATCAGGGTAATTTATGTATTACCCTCTCAGCAAATATAGAATTAGAAATATTATTATTAAAGACGGTAAAGAGGGTTAGTAACCCAGTTCATTGTTTATGAACAGCCTAACTACATGGTATTTACTAGCATAAAAAACTTATTTTAACAGTGTTTCACCACAAAATATTTAATCCTATTATCATCACCTTACATACATCTACATCATATAATATGCAGTCATAGATTTGCAGATCTAAGTTATAATTTAAGACCATAGAAAGTGAGAGGCCTATGATGACTTTTCATTAATCCCCTTGTGAATGGTGATTATTTGAGAAGTTTGGTGAGCTTTTGTGACCCTTAGTAGAGTTTTTGCTCTTGGATTTTGGAAGTTTCTCTCTCTTCTTTGATGATGAGGAGCTGGTAGAAGCAGAATCAGCTGGTGATGATGTGTTTGAATGTTCCTGTTCCCAACTACGACCTAAGGATTCTCGCATACTCTGACTGTCACCTTCTTCATAAGTGTCCACATCAACTTGTATTATGTCAGGTGTTGCATTAACGTCGGATATCTGGGAGCCAAGAAGGGAAGCTCTCACAGCACGCCGCTGATCATCTGAATGCTGAGGGCATCTCATGGAACGTGTGCACAGCCTTCTTGTATGCTCTGAGATGACACCACAAATTTGCATTAGAAGAGTTTTCTTTTCCTCATATGTCATACCATCATAATTCATGTTTGAAGAGTTTATGTTAGACGAGCTGATTTCTGTACTCACATTATTCTCAACAGTCACGTCACCATTGCGTACTGTTTTCTGATTCTTTGAACGTCGTGTTCCATTCCTATCTCGCTTCTTTCGCCGTCGGTCTGGAGTCGCAGTCCAGTCAGCATCATCTTCATCATCACTCATCATTCCACTATATGCTACACTTTCTTTGCTGTTGTTTGCAATCCTGCGGCTTGCAATTCGTGAACTGTTTCGACCCATCCCCATGCATTTCGCTAGATGGGGTGCAAAACGGGAAGCAGCTAAGCTATGCTTACATGTAGGGCAATAACAAATGCATTCTTGTGCTTTTTTTATTGGTTGCTGACCAAATATATCCACATCAGTACCATCCACTATTTCGCAGTTTGTTTTTTCTTCCTGCAATCCATCTTCTAAGTCAAATAAGCCAGCTTTAGCAGCATGATGAACTTCAAAAACAACTCCTAGAATGACATCATCAACAAGTTTTTCAAACACACTATTTGCTGCCAATATTACATTTTCAGGGTTACTCATATAAAGCTTAAACTGTCTTATAAGTTCCATCTCCTTTTCTTCAGTCGTTGCCATTCTACGTATTATGTAATTCCTTATACCACATGTCAAAACATATCTGTACAGCACCTGAAAGTCACACAACTATAAACGAAGCACAGTACCACACACACACACACACACACACACAGAAACAATGAAAACCTAACATACGGCAATATCTGACACTCCCACATCTGCATCCTACTACTCATTGATCTCGGTTAATACCAACATAAATAACCACGAACTACACACCATAGATGAAATGAAACCCACAGTTAAAATAACTACAAGCCACTTCTATGATCTGTGCCGCAGTCGAGCTGGCTGAAATTTGAAATACGTACATATAGGCACAGAAGTACACTTTTTTCATCGTGCGTAGTTATCATACAGGTACAAGTAACAAGTACTGAAGGTTCGTTTAGTGGGTTTAATGGTATGGTTTACACGCCGTAGAAAACGCTGTAGTTAACAGCCGCACTAAATCAGAGCACGAGGTTCTCATGGCGGTCGAGGTACAAATTATTGATAACTTTATCCCTGAAAATATTTTGCTCCGAAATTTTAATTACCATCTACAGATTACAACCAAAAGATCTAAATTGACTAATTTGTCAGCTGTCTGGATTATGGACATAGCCATAACGAAAATTAAATTATAAACTTGCTTATTATAAAAGTTTCTATTAGACCATACGTTATGCAGCATTTTTCCCGCCGCTAGAACATGAAATCCTGCCTTGTTTTTGGTGTGTTAAGTTGGCATTACCTCATAAGCCTGCTCCACAGATGAAATTCCATTGTGCAGTCTCTACGTGTTTTTCTTGTGGGTGATTACACGTATAATGGGATCCAGCGATTTTGGCCGCTGAACTTTGTGAATAGGAACCTCGGAGCGAGTCACCAGAAGTATCTAGCGATATTATTTAACTGTTTTTATTTGCTTCAAATTCATTTGCTCTTTAACTTATTAAACGAATTTCTTCAACGGTAGTAAAATTCTTCATAAAAATGTTGCCGGTTATATCTTCACAGTATTCTGAACAGCTATTTTTCATTGTTTCAGAATGCCGGCGTTGATCTGCCATTTAACACTAATGGCTGACTACTAGTTCTGCAAGAAACTGTCTGGAAGAAGTTTGGAATATTCTGTTGGGATTGTTCTTGGCCTGTTGTTATCTGTACGTGTCCACATATGTTGTCCAGACATTTTGCCAGCACAGACACCCTACGGCAGTTTTTGAGTTTTGTCTCTCAATAGAATTCACGTGCCCCAGTTTTAGTGGCGGGACGTGGGTATATCATTACTTGTATACCAAGAGCCAGTCCTCCTAGGAGGAATATGTCAGCAACCAGTGTTCTTCAACTGCAGGGTTAGTCGCTTTAAAACGTCAGTAGTGGCTTCCAAGATGATCGCGTTTCCCGGCCACTGCAACCCCCCACCCCAGACGCTCATTACAGAATGGCTCTGTTCTCACTCTGAGGACACATGAATATAGTTAATGTCTCAGAATGTAGTGTCCGAAGTATGTTCGAGCCATCGCAAACAAGGAAGATTCCTCTTAGAAGTCCTGGGTTTCAACTCTGTGGTAATGGTGAAGGTCTGCTGTGTTACGAAAGGCAACGTTCCGGTTTACAACGTTCACATGGATCGACAAGACACTGATTTGCTTGTGTGACACGTTTTCCGACACAACGAATATCACTGAACATGTCCGAACAGATTCATGTCGTTGAATAAATTGTGCTGTACAGTACTCCGATGATTTCTCAGTTATTGCGTTGTTCATAATGTTTTATAACATTTATAGTGGAAACTACTTTATTTATATAAGATTGAATCACATATTTATAGCATTTCTTTTGTAAAAAAGAATTGGGCTATGGTCAAGATTGTAACCAATTTAAAACACTGTATCTGTGAGAAAACAGAATCCGGTTTGCGAAGAGATGTCGTAAAACGGTAGACTACCTGTTGACAACCTAGCTAATCGCACATTTAGGTCAGCAGTTGCTGGGGAGGTATTGCTTGCTGCTTGCTGCTCAGGTTTTTGTCGCCTTTCTCTTGGATATCGATTGCTGGCCACGACGTTGTTCGTCGATAGTCGAGCCTTAAAGGGGGGAATGGGAGAAAGAGGAGGGAGAAAGTGGAGCTCTTCATATTCGCAGGATTTGAGGAACAACTAACTAAAATCATGTTTTTTGAGAAGGGTGTTATGAAGCTCGCAGCTCAGTCGTGGGATAGTGAATTGAGCCAGAGGCCCTAGACAAGATTTTTGTACCGAGAAGGTCAGTGGGAGTCTTAAATGAACCGCTGTAATTTATTTTCGGGTCCAAGTGATCCACATTTTCCGTACACCTGGCACTGTTCTTGATGTAATAACACTGTTTTATTACACAAAAAACCAGAATCCGGTTAGTTAGGGAGGAATATAGGTGTAAATGCAATGCAGTTCCAGACAATTAAGCTATCAAACCTGTTAGAATCGAATTATCCGGTATGGTGTTACTCTTTGTAAGATTGTGATAGAAGAATGTCAGGAATCATCAATGCAAGACAACGTGGAAGTTGGTCTTCTTGTTCTGTATGTTGGTATTGTAGCCATGTTCCTGGAAAGTCAATTAAATAAGCTACAATTAAGCTTTTCGATATTCACTAAATCACAACTCGTAACACAGGCATATAAGAAGGATGGAACGGGCGAAGAGAGAAAGAAGGGAAATACAAAAACGAAAGAGGAAAATATATCGGTATTCCATAGTTAGTCTCATGAATTGTCCCAGAGACTTCGCATAACTACGAAAATCCTGCCTCTGGTTCGAGCCGTATCTTTCAAAGCACCGCTCATTGATTTGTTCAGAGAATTGTACTTGTCAGCAGAATCCGTGTCCCTGCCCAGACCACATCCCCTCAAAATATAGCACAGATTACACCAAATGCACTTGCCTTGGTGTAACCGAATGCTTCTGCAAGGATACTACCGAATATTGAAACGCCTGTTGCCTCGATCCTATGGATGATTCTTGCATCCCATTAGTTATTCTGGCAAAATGTTTGGTCTGGGAAGGCAATGTGTCGAATAGTTTACATCTACAGGCCAGAATATCTCCTGCGGTATGCTACATAAAGATGTGTCCCGTATGTGCAGGAACAACGTGAGCTGCAGGTACTTCAGGCGCTATACGTTATGCGTTGTCAAAACTTCTGATGACCTTGTTCCCCTCCATGTCTGTTTTAAACACTTAAATAGATTCTGGCCGCTGTCATATTTCTGTTAATGCTATTAACATTTTGATATGTGTGCTTATTTAATATAAAAATCGTACTTTATTGAATGTTCTGTCATATGTGTGAGTTCTGCTATATTACCCTACTTCATAAATTACAGTGTTTGATTTCTACCTCTCATAAATATTTGTATTTTTAGCCTTATTCTAGAATCAAAACGAAGTAAAGATTTGTGGTTTCATTCATCTCTGCGTCCTAATATTTGTTTAAAGAACTGACTAATCTTTTTTAAACCTGGTATGAAAATCATGTCCTTAAGCAACGGCACATTCATACGATTGAGATGAAAGTTACAACTGCACTGCAAGAGTTTTCGCGCGGAATCGAGTTCGAAGACGTCCGAATTGATAGTGATGTCTATCATGTTTATTGTACTCGCGCGAAATGCGTGTCCGATATTTCTAATGAAAGCAGTATACACTTTTGCTCCACAAATATGGATCCTGAATTAGAATTATATTTATCTGAAAATGTGTTGGTAAGGCCATTTTTTAAGGCCACAGGGTAACAGAGGTTTACCACATATATACTGCAATCAATTCCACTGTTGAGAATACATTTGTTCGCGCACTCTTCTCGACTTCACGCTAAGACGCTTGGATTGTAACCTTATCCTTAACGTGAGGAGCGAGGTTTTATTATATTGCGTATCTTGTCCATGAAGTCACAAGAGCATGGAAGCCTTACTACTGTTAAACAAATGGCAGCAGATATTACACTGCAATTTTTTCTCACATAGAATCGTAAAAGTTTGTAGATTGTACAAAAACAATAAAACTCTCATGCTGAAATGTCGGTCTATCAGGAGGGTTACAAACAGCGGACCTCCAAATAAGGATGCTAACCATTAATATCGTTTTGGACTGGTGAGAAGGCGAAGAAAGTAATGAATACCAACGGAATCTGGAGAGATATAAAACAACTCTAGCGTTGCTTCATGTTGTAGATGTGGAACGCACAGAATTTCCTTATCATTCTGTGCCTTGCGTCACTTCGATAATCGTTCCGATCTTCATGCCCTTGGCCTTGGAAAGGTTTCGTAGATTTCGGGTCTTGATTTATCGGAAATGAGTCGAGAAAGCTGAACCCTGGACTTAGAACCCTTCGGTAAAAAGTGATAGTAGTGTTCAAACAGTTTAACATTAAAAAATATATGTTGATATTTGGCGCTTGTTTTATAAAGTTATTAAATAATTAATCATCGTTGCTCTATAGCCAAGATGATGTTTGGCTTCTGAACGTATGAAGTTGGACGAAACATTTTTTGGAAATGAAAGGTTAACAGCAAAGAGTACGGATGTAAATGGAAAGTCGTGAATTCAATGTGCTATTGTACAGAAGTAAATTAGCACGTCACGCTTATACAACGTCAACTGTTTATTGATCGCAGCAGAAGCAATTACTTTCTCACAGAGTATCATGTAGCAAGTGGTACATTTCTTTTCGAAACATTCTGGATATAATCTGAATGCATCATTACTGATCACTATTAATTGTTGTTCGCTTGTTATTAATATTATTGGATGGTTATAGATCTAACAATTTTATTTCATATTACGCGGGCTTCCATTTGCCTCCTCTTGTGGACCCCGTAGCGCGTTGTTGTGAATCCAACATGGCGCTTGATGTTGTGTGGAATTGTACTGGAACGTCAGATTGTTAAGACATTAGGTAAATTTAAAGAAAGAAGAATATAAGTGTTGCTGTGTGTTATATTATTTATTTATTAATGCTACCAATGAATGTTAGTAACTTTACGAGTGTAAACTTAACGCATACTTGCTAACTGAAGATGTGTTTGTAGGTCCTCGGTGTGGACAAGGCCTATTATTTTCTTAGCAAATGCTTATGTGTTCTCTAGTGGTGATATCAAATTTTTATGGGAGAAGACGTTACAGCTGGATTGTCATGGGTAAATTAGTAAATTTTGAAAATTGTGGCATTAATTTGTAGTATTACCTGTCAAGTCATTTGTAGTCAAATGAAAATACAGAATTCATTGCGAGTAGCCAACTGCTCCGCAAACTGCAATACCAATGGTGGTTGGAGTTAGATGTTTACTATATCCTACAGTTAAGACATTTGTAAAGTAGTGTGATAGGTTAGAGACAAACTAGGTTATGAATACTATAATTAGATTGCAATCAGTGATTGAGATAACCTCTTAAAGGTCATTTAGTTATTTCAGCAGTATGTAGTCACAGAGTAACTATGAAATAGTTTCAGAGTTCGTATAGAAAGATTATAAGCAAAGTTTCATACGTGAGGATGCTTATTTATAAAGCATGATTCACTATTTTTATGACTGCTTAAGATGACTGGGTGCATTGTTAATTTTTTAGCTCATGGAACATGTTTAACCAAATTTGTCTTATTTTTATTTCTCCCAGTGTTGTATCTGTTTATTAGAGATATTTGTAAACTTGGTGTGCTGCTGTTATGTACATTGCTAAGTATCTTTCAGAGAAAAAACACAAAATTATTAGTGTTGGTTTTCTGGCTGTAACATCATGCACATTGTGTTAAAACACAGAAGACCAACATCATCATCATCATCAATTTGAGGACCTCAGATCTTATATGCACAAAATTGTTTATTGAAAGGAATAATTTTTAGTAGTTTTGGTAAATATAATGATCAATACTTTGATTCATTTTTATAATGAAGCAATGAGTTTAGCAGTGTTGTTTGTTTCATGTAGAATTGAATGAATTGGATAATTGTATGCAAAAGTATTATGTTATGTGTTATATTAAATTGCATAGTGGATAATTGACACTGCTTATGACCCTTAATGCAGCTGTGTTGTGTTTTTGCAGTTTGTTGTTTATACAAGTGTTTCATTTAAAGATATCACCTGGCCTGAATGAGGTTTTATGGTTTTCCTTTATCCCTCCAGGCAAATGCCAGGATATCCTTTTTAATTAATTATTAATTGTGTATCATATGTCAATATAGCATTCATACATGTATATAGATTTGCTGACATACGTTATAAATATGTACACATTTTATGTATTAATTGTAAATGTTGCAATAGAAATAGTATTAGATGTAGAGTTTTTGTATGACTTGAATGCAGGCATTGAACAATAGGATGTGTACAGGTTGATCTATGTTCTGTTATGCCTAGCTTATACATATAGAATCAAATACATTATATCATGAGTATTGATGTTAGAAATGCAAAGTGGGTAATATGTCTAGATAAATGCATGCTGCTGTCTGAGGTTTCTTATACCACAGTATTTTAAGGTGCAAAAAATTACAATTTGGCAAGAAAATCGTGATGGAGGGGAGTGGTCATCCTCACTTCTTTAACCCTTGGGGAAAGAGCTTCCAGCGGCTGGAAATTGAAGTTGTCCTCCAGATAATGTTGCCTTTCTGGTGACTTGTCTTTGCTAAACTGCATACAGCCTGTTACAGGAATATGTTATTGTGTGATTTCAGGTTCTCACAGCAGGAAGTATGAAGATTGGTGTCTCTTGGTTGTTGCACTGTTTAGTCTGGTAGAAGTTTACCAATGTTTCAGAGGTGCTTGCAACTGACTCCATCAGGGTTTAGGGCATTGAGCTCTAGTGATGGAGGCAGTTAGCACGTTTGAAACGTCGATGAACTTCTACCAGACTACACAGCACAACCACCAATAGGTGCCTATCTTCATGTTGCTTCATACTTCTTGAGATGTTGAAAGTTTTTTATGCTGTATACTGAAGGTCCTTGCTCATCCACCATCTATGCCCTGTAATATATTTATAATTAGGCATTCATGAATTGTTACACTCTGCATACATTTCTTAATCTAGTGGGGAGGGGGTTGGGATCAATATATTCATAAGATTGTGAATAAGTATGCAATTTCAGTACAATTTATTTTGAGGAAATTTTTTAAAAAAACAGGCAATGCACTTTACTAGTTTTTAATGTTGGTTTTTGATGGCCATCCTTTCTCTGTGTTCGTAGAAAAAACTATCCATTTTGGGGCATGCTCGTAAAATGTACTAGTTTAATCAGGTCTTGGATTCTGCTGCTATAAGTTGCGTATTTTATTAAGGTTAATTTTGAGTGGTGGATTGCAAAACTGGTCATGTTAGTGTTGTATTGTTGATGTGTCTACAGAGTTAGTGGTGGCTCTTATCCCTGAGCTTGTTACAATTTGTCTCACCCATGAATGATCCTGTTGTAAACAGAGGGGTGGAGAGTTTGTCTTTATGTATGCCAAGTGATTTGTGGAGAGGAATATGTACGTGCCTATCATTTATAGGTTACACGTACGTTTTTGCAGAACTCTGTTGTGTCATCAACTGAAAACATGTGTTTTGTCTAGGATGCTTAAAATTAATTTATGGGAGGGAGTGTCAGATTTATAAAAAGTATTGCAAAACTTTAGTGCAGTGGTCTGTATAATTCTCAGCCCAATATTGAATATTAAATAATTGTATGTATTGAGAATGCACACCAGACTGATATACGCACACTGGTCTTTCTTTAGTCAAGTGGTGGGCAGAAGGTGTATGCCTGTCCTGTTTGTGAGCATCAGGATTGTTCTTTTGAGAGACAGAGAGGGCCATCTGTGTCTTGGTCTTTAAATCTGTACATTATGAAGTAAATTATTTGCATAGTACCTGCATAGCCTTCTGATTATGATATTAATCTACTTTAAAATAATTAAGCTATTTTCTGTGTCCTCCAGTAGTTTACTACTTTGTATGTGATTTTCTTCTCAGTTTCTGTTATTTTCATTGTAACTTCAGTGATTTGAAATAAGTTCTGTTTTTATTTATTGTCTTTTCATTTTAGAGTTTCAGCTTTTTGTTACTTGGTGACATATCTTGTTTTGTCTCTCACTTTTTAGTTTTCAACAGTGATGTCATCATTTTCTTATTTCTTATAAATCTACCTCTCTTTTGCTGTGTCTAATCATCTATTTGTTGCTGTGTTGTTTTATAATAGACACAGAGATGAGTCAAAGATGACTGGCCGCCAATGAGATTGCTACTCCAGTGATGATGGATAAGTTTTTGGTTTCAATTTCGACTTAAGGGGATCAGCATTATTGATCTTAACAAGATAAATATACATTGGTGGTGTTGAGGTACGTATTTATGTAAAAGTTTTATTATATATTTATTTTCGTTATAAGTGCGTGTTGTGTAAAGAATGTGGCTTGTATTGGATGCAGGAAAATTTGCAAAACTTTTAGTGTATGAGCAGTAAGCCAAACCTTGAATATGGGCTGCCTTTGCACTAAAAGTAGATTAATATGTGTAAAAGTTAACAGTAATTCAGTATAGTTATATACATTATCAACTCATGAGTGTAGAATGCCAAACAGGGCATGTTACACTGCCACCATTCTCTTCTGTAGAGTAACTAATGTGCATTGCAACAACTGTTTCATGCTTCCATCCGATGAATAGTCCATGAAGTGTGTTTGTATAGCCATTGAGGTGGAATTCCAGGTTTTTGTTTGGTGTTTGTATTGATTGGATCTGTTGATTTTTTGTTCAGTAAACAATGTGGAAATTTGTTAATTTTAAATGTATTGTGCACAAACAACTCCTGCTTTGTGCTTTGTGGACCCTATCCTGAGCTGTCAAAAGCTAATCCACTTCCTGACCCTGATTCTTTAAGATCCATTTGGATATTATCCTCGCTTTGTGTCTAGGTCTCTTAGGTGGTCTCTCCTTGGTTTTCTGATAAATATACTTTATGTATTATCTCCCATGCCTACATCTATCTCATTCTTCTTGATGTGATAACTCTAGTAATATTTGATGAAGCATACGAGTTACGAAGCTTTTCATAATTCTTTTTGGGTTAAACTATGGAAATGTTTATTCTTATTGAATTTTAATTTTGCACCAGAAGTTTGCCATTGCCCTATTGTGTTACAGTCTTTATTTTGACGTAAATACGTCTATACGTAAGGGTCATTCGGCAAACAAGTGAAGGAAAAACGTAAGATCCATATCAACAATGTGTTAATATGGATCGACAACAATGGTCAGCTTGCGTGCATTGGTATGTCATCTTTTTCCTCAGCATTGTTAATATTGTTGTAATTAAAGCTAGTATATAAACTTCCTTTCCGTATAGACGTATTTACGTCAGATTCTCCGGAACCGTGGTTCCACTGTCAATTTTTTTTGACGTAAATACGTCTATACGGAAGGGTCATTCGGCAAAAAAGCGTAACAAAGATTTGTGACGAAAATGTATGACAAAGTTGTGTAAGATCTATACAACAATGCATAAATATGGACTGACAACAATGGTCAGCTTTTATATGAACTGCATTGTTGTTTTACCTAGGAAACTAATTGTTGTTTTACCTAGGAAACTAATTGTTGTTTTACCTAGGAAACTAATTGTTGTTTTACCTAGGAAACTAATTGTTGTTTTACCTAGGAAACTAATTGTTGTCATCTGTTTACTCGGCATTGTTGTGTTACATTACTGCCGTCAACAGTCCACTTTCGTTATTGTGGAAAGAACTGAGCTGTGAATCACTTGTAGAAGAAGTGTGCCATAAAGTAGATAATCTTGTGCTGGTAAAAACGTTTTAGAATATCACAAGTACTTTTTTATTGTGTACCCAGTGTCTGAAGTAGATTTTCTTGTGTGTATGTTTTTTGTAGATGGTATTGCCTGGGACAGTGATTACATGTCAGCAGTGAAAGCTTGATTTCTGCCATGACAGACACACGGAGACGCGTGAAGCTTTATGCACTTAATGCAGACAGGCAGTGGGATGATCGAGGTACAGGACATGTTTCCTCCTCATATGTGGATCGCCTAAAAGGCATCTCACTGTTAGTTCGAGCAGAATCTGATGGTAAGTTATTTAGTTGTTTGCATAAAATAATGTTTCATTTTTACTTCAGTGAATTAGGTTTTTCTTAATTTATTCCTTGTTAATGCAAACTATTTCTAGTTCATGTTCTTAAATAAAAGGTTTTTACATTTCCTCCCTCCCTCCGTTCAGAGAGCCAAGAGAGTTCTTCACAGATTAGTCATGTATTTTTTTTAGAGCATTGGCTAGCATATGTCAGTAGAGTTACAAGTTTTATTTTTTAGACAAATTTGCCCAGTTGGAAATTTTCCTGGTGCCACTTTTTTGGCTTCATTAATTTTATGACTAGTTTATTTGAACATATCAGCCATATACTTTTTTGTACTTTGTAGATTTTTGTACAACAAATTTATTTGGCCTGTATATTGAAGTCTGTTGTAGCTATTACTAGCCATATTTTATTCATTTGTAACATTTTTCTTAAGAAGGGAGTGTTAATGACCTCTTCTTTGTTGAAATAGGTCTTTCTTTTTCTCAAGTTTTGTATGCAGCATTCACTCACTTCAAATTTTCTGGCTGCAGCATGATTTTATTTGCTTGGGGTCTCTTAAAATCTTCATTCTCACAGACTGTAAGTGATCAGTCACTTTGTCTTATATATTTCCAGTATCTGTATTTGCATCATTTATCTGGGTTTCCTATAACAGGGGTTTGTGAAAGGGAGGGTGGTTAGTATGGTATTCTGTGTGGCTGCTCTGCTCATTATTTGAAATAACATTTCTCTGCTGTAGGCACAGTATGAGCAGTGTTCATGTGTATCAGTGGAATTCTGCTTTTCCATCCTGTTGCTTAAATGAAGCTTAAGCTATTTCTGTGGAGAGCAGATACAAAGTAAAGTGATGTGGATAATGAAAGTTGACCCTAACAGCACTAAGAATCTGTTGCTAATGAAAAAAAATATGTTGCTGAGAAAGCATTCTCACATGTAGCACTTAGTGCTGCACAAATTGAATCAACAAATATGATGCATAGTTTGTTTTTTCATGCAAAGGTTTTAGAACACAGGTTCACTTGGTGTTTGGATAAATTTGGTATTTATTATGTTAGTGAATTAATTATGGTTGTATTTTCAGGCTCATTATTGTTGGAGTCAAAGATTCAGCCAGACACAGCATATCAGAAACAACAGGTAAATGGATTTAGGCAATTGTCTGAACTCATATCACACTCATGTTTTTCATACCCAGATGATGCTGTTACAACTTCTTTACAAAAAGCAGAAAAGAGGGTCACAGAAGTTGATAACCCAGCTTTGCATGAAATTGTTACAGACTCATATACAATAGACTCCCTATTAGCTGGATGAGACTGACTGGGTTATGGATTAACAGGTCTATCTCGTTAAATGAAAATGAAATCTAATGTAAAAGTGATAACACTTAGAAAGAAAGGAATAAATACTACAATGACATATTATTTTAGTAAAGGTAGCAACTGAAGAAACTGAACTTTAATTTTATCTCATTTCAGGTCACCCCCATAGTTCCTTATGTGCTAACACCCCAGTAAGCTTTAAGCATGTGAATAAGCATTAACTTGAGCACAATCTCACAGCTGTACATTCTGACTTTATTTTATTGAAAATGAGTGATTTTTGCGAGGAACTGGTAGTTTAAAATTTGTCCACAACACGAGAGTGTTTACTGTCAGTTTTCTGTCTCAATAATGCCATAGGAGGTAGATACAATTTTTAATCTGACTAGCAGCCAGCTGCATCATAATGTACGAGACATTGTACCCTGACATAGAGACCTGCACTAGTCAGTGCATACTTGGTCCCGCATTGCTGTGATTATTTTCAGAACTGTGTAACGTTACAGTGATGTAAAACTGACTTTCTCAAACTTTTAGAGAGAATTGGCAATTTGCTGTAACGTATGTAGAGACTCATTGTATTTATGTTTTTTGTAGGATACGCTTATTGTTTGGTCAGAAGGAGATAACTTTGATTTAGCACTCAGTTTTCAAGAAAAAGCTGGTTGTGATGAAATATGGGAGAAAATATGCCAAGTTCAAGGGAAGGATCCCTCAGTGGACATCACACAAGACATTGTGGAAGAGTCAGAAGACGAGCGTTTCGATGATATGTCCGACTCTGCTCCGCCTATTGAGTTACCTCCATGTGAGCTTAGTCGCCTCGAAGAAATTAATGAGGTTTGTTTTACCAACTTGGTTGTGAATTGTGATGATTTTGCTTGTAAAAGAATATATATAATGTTGGTCATCAAATTAGTTTTCATTAACATTTAAAATGCTGGTGGTGGGGTTTGAGCACATTGTGATCAATTTCTGTGTTTCGTGATGGCAGGAAATTTGTCAGATGTCTGAATAACTATCTGCTGCTCAAGGAACCATGCATACCATCTGGGAGGATAAGAAGAGTTAGTTAGTTATAAAGCCAGCAACTATTCCGTATTCATGGTAGAATTGACTATTTTCATGGCATTGTTAGAGGAATATGTGCAGATAGAATAAGCTGATATGAAATAATACATTGTTAGTGATGGAAAGTTTGTAAAGTATATTTCAAGTTAAAAGTATTTCAGTTGCTGATTCATGTAATTTATAACTTGTCAGAACTCTTCTGACCGAGTGAATTCCATCATGTGTTCAACACAATGTTTTTATTTTAATTCTAGTTGATGGGAAGCTGTCTAACAACACCCATGAGGAAAGAGAAATTAGCAGTTGCAATAGAAAATGAAGGTTACATAAGGAAACTATTAAATCTTTTTCATATGTGTGAAGATCTGGAGAATACAGAAGGCCTGCATTGTCTCTACGAAATTTTCAAGAACCTCATTTTATTAAATAAAAATGCATTGTTTGAAGTTATGTTTGGGGGTGAGTGCTACTAGCATTTTGTATTGATCCTGTTGACTAGATTATGATATAGTTCATGATTGACAATTTTAAATTTAACTTGACATTAATGTGAGAATTTGTAATCTGTATTAGTAACATGTCAAACAGGAGATTTAATTTTTACACACAAGAGCTTTAGCCATTAGAACTTGCTTTGTGTTATGAATTATTTACTTTTTAATATGTGTTTATTTCTTTGTATCGCAACTTTCCCTTCTGTCGAATATTTCCATTGAATATATATTTTCATACCATTCTCTTCAAGCAGACTTGATTCCATGGTCTTCCCATAGGCTGTTTTGTAAATGTTCTCAGATTCATTATTGTTTTGTGCAGTCCATATCAAAGTGTCCAAACCATTTCAGTCTATTTGATTTTATTTTATTCAACATAAACCTTGATTTTATTCTAATTTTGTTTTGTATTTTATGAGATTCCTTTTACTGAAGCTTATATTTCTGTTGTATTTATTTTGTACATATTCCAAATACTACATAATGAAAGTACTTAATCTTTGACCCTTCATGTTTTGTAGTAATTGTGACTTACCAGTAATACTTTTGACGTATAAGATTTCAGTTTTTGATGGTAGTGATGATGTCTTCTGGGTTGTGATGCTGCCAAGTCTACCTGGCATCACAGTCCAGAAGACCACAATTGGCTCACATACTTTAGCAGATTCAGACAAAAATAAGTTATAGTTATTCTTAATTTTGCATTTAAATTTTCAGAGGAGGCAATATTTGATGTGGTAGGATGTCTTGAGTATGACCCAAGTTCTCCAGCTCCCAAACGGCACAGACAGTACCTGAAACAACTGGCCAGGTTCGTAGAATAATTTATTAATATTATTGTTAATTTTGTAATTGTTATTTTTATTATAATTATTACTACCTTCCTGTTCCTAAGATGTTTCTGCATATTGTGGGTGATAATATGGAGAATCAGATTCCCTCAGAGTTGGAATCACATATTTTATCTTCAGACAAGTGCTTTGTGCTTCATTCAGATGTTTCTATTCTCATTTCTATTCCTTACATTATTCCTTCCTTTATATGGGCATATGTAACTCTTAATTTAGAGTGCTTTACATACACTTTGTTCAAAAGCTGCTTATGCTTGTTACACAAACATCTACCAGTTAAACGATGGTGTTAGCCCTCCAGGGATGATTACATGATTCATATTTTTCTGCGTTTGAATATCTTCTATGGCAACTTGTATGACAGCAGTTTCCTGCCATCCATAGTGATGAACAGCTTAAATTCACGTGAAATCACAGTTTTTTCTTTCATATACATGCAGCAGACATTGAGATATACTTTTTTATGCGCTAATTATTTTTTTAAAAACACTTCACCTGCCATTCTTGACTTCCCATTAAACCTTGGATCCCATGTTTTCAGTGGCATTTCAGTTGATATCGTACACCTGAATTGCTGCCTCTCGCTTTGTATTCACGGAGCTTTTCTTCATTTTCTGGAATGGTGTATTAGGGAAATTATTATGTATTCCATGTTAGTGTGTCTGTATACTTAATGAGTATTTACAATTTGTGGATTTTGCTTTATTTGTTTTGTTGTATGTGTGGAACCAACACAAAATGTGGATGAGCCTGTAATAGGTTTCCTGTTTAATATATTGATTCTGTTTTAGGTTTAAAGAGGTCATACCCATTTCTAATCCAGAGCTTCTTGCTAAAATTCATCAAACATACCGTGTACAATACATTCAAGATGTTGTATTACCAACCCCATCTGTTTTTGAAGACAACATGCTGTCCACATTATCAAGTTTTATCTTTTTTAACAAAGTGGAAATTGTTACATTAATACAGGTATGCTGCTAGTCTTGCTTCACATTTTGTATTTAGATGTTCCTGTGGTTCCATTTAACTATTTTCATGGTTTATATGTGCAGTTAAATAAGTGTGACATATTTCGCATGATTAAAAAAGGTCTAATGATATATGCTGCTTTAATTATTTATCAGTTTATGGACATTCGTATGATAAGCATATTACTATTGATGTCATAAAGTATCCTTGCTTGAATTCTAAAATGCTTATTAATCTAAACTTTGTGGTTATCATTTGCATTGTCAATATAAAGTGGAAGGCTGCTTGATGTATTTACTAAATTATCTTATTATTCATTTCCTTATTGTGTTACTAATTATATTTATTCAATCTTTTAATAGGAGGATGAAAAGTTCCTCAGTGAACTTTTTGCACAACTAACAGATGACGGAACCGATGAACAAAAACGCAGGGACCTGGTACTTTTTCTTAAAGAATTCTGTAATTTTTCACAAAACTTACAACCTCAAGGAAAGGAGTCTTTTTATAAGGTACACAGTGTTATACTTGTTTACATTTACATTAATAATTTATAATTGAAAACCAATGTACACAGTTACTTTTCATTTATTACAGACCCTGTCTTCGTTGGGAATTCTCCCGGCTTTGGAGATCACACTAGCAGCAGATGATGCTCAAACAAAGACAGCATCCATTGATATTCTCACTTATATTGTAGAGTTTTCTCCGTCCGTCGTCCGCGACTACACTTTACAACAGACCAGCAATACAGATGAAGTAAGTTCCATGTATTGGTTCTTTCCAAATTAAGACTGTAGTGCCATAAAATTTGTTAGTATAGAGTTTGCATAACCCACTTCAATTACTAGTGACACATGATTGTTATTGCTTCAGAGTGCCTGTGTAGAGTAAAGGTCTACATTGTGTTAAAGAAAGAAATTTTAATCTCCTTGAAGTCCAGTATTTACCTGTTGCAGTTGACATGCTATTGGCTACATCATTTTGCTCGGTTGTGTGGTCAGATTCCATGTAAAGATATGGGTTCTTGAATTCTTTATTGCCATAATCCCTTCAATTTCTCACATGTTGGTAGAACGGTTTAACTTGTGCATCTTTGGCAGGCTGCATTGGAATCTTTGTAAAAGAATGCCAAGAGTTGAATTTTTTATGCCTCACCAGTTATTTAAGTTTTTTAATTATGTGAAATCCAAAATACAGCAAAAAAAAGATGAAAGCCAGTGGTGAAAAAGTAAGGTTCATTCTTTTCCATCCTCAGTTATATCAGCTACAAATTAATTCAGTGAAAATGAGAAAAGGGGTGACACTTTGATGTGTTTATGAATTTATGGTATGTGTTACTCTTACTGCAAAGAATGTCATGTAAACAGGAAAGGTGTGGTGCAAAATCATAATGTGGCATAAAATGTGTCAAGTTCATTGCAGAATGCTGGCAATAGTGGACTTGGGACCCACTGTGTATGCATGCACACACACACACACATGTGCAGCCATGTGGGTACTGGGATGATTGTCTGCTTTTGGAAGAATGAATTAAGTTTGGTCTGTTCATGATAACTCATTCATCTGATCTAACTAAAAATAGGACCTTTTATGAGGACACGTAAAGGAAACTAGCCAGTGTAACAGCCAGTTCATGAATTTTTAGATATGTTGCAGCATTTCAGAAAACCTAAGTGCAACATTGAAACCAAGTGAGATTAGTAAAATTGTTGAGTTGCAGAAGTTTCTTGCATGAGTTCTAGTACATAAATACCTTTGATGGTCAATTGTTTTGATCTTAAAGACCATGTGTCATGTTTGTAGTTTGCTTAAGCAGGTATGTTGTTCATGTCCCATTTAGTAGTTAAGAATTGTTTTGAATGTAAGACCTTGAAGGGTTTATATATTCATATTCATTTACAGGACCAAATGTTAATAAACGTGGTGATTGAGCAAATGATCTGTGATAATGACCCTGAGCTGGGGGGTGCTGTGCAGCTAATGGGCATCCTCAGAATACTTCTAGATCCAGAGAATATGCTGGCTTCTGTCAACAAATCTGAGAAAACAGACTTCCTTAACTTCTTCTACAAGCACAGTATACATGTTCTCATTGGTACGTATACTTGTCCCTGATATAGTTAGGATGTGGATCCATCCATATCAGTACAGTCACAAAATGAGGAGATTCTTAATATGTGTTTACAGAACATTTTCATATTTGTACTTCTATGTTCGGTGTTTGCTTAACACTAAGGCATCCTTATTTTTCTTATGTGAAAATACTGACTGGATGTCAGTGAAATCTGGTGTTGGGAGTTTCTGCTAAAAGTTGTGCAGCAAATTAAATTTTGATTATATAAATCTGCCATAAAATGTACATAACATGAAGTTCAAGTGTAGGTACTGACAGAATGAACAGTCTATATCACAGTTCATCAAGAAATGTTTCATTATTTATACTTGCATGGTGGTACAATGCAAATATTACACGAAGAGTAAGTAACAGTGTATGTATTAAGAATTGTTTCATAGAAGATTGGATAATGAAACTCCATGAAATAATGTGAGGTAAAATTACTTAGGTTTGAAGGTCGCATCATTGTTGGTGTTTCAGCAGTTGAAAGAGTTTTGTTGCACATGAACGGGAACTGTTACAAGGAATGAACACTTTAAAAAGCTTAGCTTTAGCAGTAGCCATATAGAGGGGTGCACAAATTAATCTCTGTGGGAAAACTTCATTTTATCATTTCTTTCAGTCTGTGTTTTATTTTAACAGCTATGTGACTGCTACATATGAAATCTGTGTGGGTGAACTACGTAAGAACTAATATTGTGTGTTGGTTTTTCTTGGGTTCAGCACCTTTACTAGCAAATACTGCTGAAGATCATCCAGCTAAAGAGGATTACCAGACTGTGCAGCTGTTGGGTCTCATTCTGGAGCTGCTGTCCTTCTGTGTAGAACATCATACTTATCACATCAAGAACTGTATTCTCAACAAGGATCTGCTAAGGCGCATTTTGGTACTCATGAAGTCTACCCATACATTCCTCGTGCTTTGTAAGTATTACATGAATGAAATTTAATAGAAAGTTTCTCCTCATATAACCACACAGTTGTATAGATTAACCCAGCTGTTGCATATTGACAGCCCAAAAAGCTACATAGCATCTCAAAGGAGCCAGAGCATGATGTGCTTGTTAGCTTGTCTCTACATAGGTTAGCATTGGGTGACTACCACATTTTTATTTTACTTTTTTTAGTGTCTGAAATGAGAAAGTAAAATTAAAATATGTTTTGAACTAGCATAAATTATACACTTTGTATTTTAAGCGGTCTCAGGTATTAAAGTCTTGCATATTGAATTGGGTCCTTTGTGTCCTACAGTATGTAAGCAAAGACTAATGGAAACTTACAGATTTTTTTTGCTCTTTTCACTCAGTTTTCATGTCATGTTCTTTATTCTCTCTATTAGTCATTTGGAAACATTGTCCCTGTGCGACACTGGTTTTTTCAAGAAACAACCATTGAGTGACATAAGTAGTAAAAATATGTTTTTGGTTAGATAATAGACTGACTATGGACTGGATGACCGGGGTTCGATTCCCTATGGGAGCAAAGTGTTTTTCCTCTAGCCTCTGCGTCCAGACTGGATCTGGGCCTATACAGTGGGTACCGGGGTCCTATCCCAGGGGTAAAGCACAGTCGGGGCTTATGCTAACCACTCACCCCTATCTAGAGCTGAGGTTAAGAATGAGTAGGAGCTACAACGCTATTCCACTCAAGTTCCTACATAGCATATAGCGGGACAGCTTTACTTTTCTTTTTAATAGAATAAACAGATTTGGAATTGGAGAATTATTAAGGTGTTTGAAGATTTGTGTTTTCTGAGTTTTAGAGCCATGCAGTCTGGTAGTTTACCAATGTTTTAAAGGTTCTTTCTGCCTCCATCATCATGGCGATGAGTAAGGTGATCTGTAAGGTTTCAAATTTCTGAATGCAGAGATGAGTTGCCTCTGCGTAGAGGATAGTTATGGAAGATTTGATGTTCTCAATTTATTGCTTACTCATCGCCCTGATGATGGAGGAAGCAAGGACCTCTGAAATGTTGGTAAACGTCTACCAGACTACATGGCTCTACAACCCAGAAGACAGCCTTCTTTTGACTGTTCACTGTGAAAACCTCAAATCCTAGTAAGTGTAAGGTATCCTATTTTCATAGTATTTATGTTCTGTAGGTGCATTGAGGTTGATGAGGAAGATAATTGCCCTGAAGGATGAATTCTACTACAGATATATCATAAAGGGAAACCTGTTTGCACCAGTTATTGATGCATTTGTAAGAAACAATGGCAGATATAACCTCTTGGATTCAGCAATATTAGAGATGTTTGAATTCATTAAATTGGTAAGTTCATGATCAATCTTGTACCTTGGAACTTATATCTGGCATTCTAAATGTGAAGTTTTTACATGCAGACAAGAATATCATTAGCATTGTTTCGCTGTCCTAAGAGTGAGACGTAAGTTAACTGGAAGACATTGTAATGGAAATAATTTAGCACAGTTTTGTTTCTTGTGTACCAAGCACAGAAAAAATACTTTGATTGTGAAAGAACTCTACCGGCATGTTGTGACATGGAATACATCTCTGGTGCCTTCAGTCTAGTTACGTGGCTTATGTAATGCTTTATGTATTTAAATCTGTAATATATCTTGTACTCGTACTGAGTCTGACCTCCAAGTGTGGTACCATTAATTCTTTGTTTCTGTAGCTGTGTTGTGTGTGTTCCATGAAAACTAAAGGAAAATTTAGGACAGACATGATGCTCTTATACAGTCGTATTGTTGTTGTAGGAAGACATCAAATCCCTTTGCTCACATGTTGTTGAAAATTTTGGCAAAGTTCTGGATGACATTGAATATGTTCAGACCTTCAAAGCTCTCAAGTTGAGGTATGACCAGCATCAGGACAAACTCAAGGATAGAGATAGAACAGCGTTAGATAGGTAAGTATCCTGCTGTCTTCTGTCCATTATGACTTCATGCCCATATTTTGAATGATATTCCTATTTCTTTCCTTTCAGTTTGTGCAGTAGAGTAATCTGGTTTGGTTAATATGTATATCTTACAGATATCTTTTCTTCCATTCACAGAATGAATGTTTAGTTCCTTGTGGATTGTATGAGACATATTGGACTGAAATGTTGTTGAGGGACTGGAATGTCTCATGTTGCTTTGTGGAAATTCTGAGAAAGAACTTTGCTTATAAATGGTGTTGTGAAAACTTTATCCTGAACAGGAACTGGTAGATAGTATACGGGTTATGGATTCCCCGGTTTCTCCGTGGCATCCCAACAATTACTCCATTCACACACAGAAGAAGGCAATGGCAAACCACTTCTGGGTCATCTGCCAAGAACGTATATGAACAGGTCCCAGTCCGAGAAAAGGATGGAAGGATCCTGTTCATATGGACCTGTCGTCAGACAGAACACTAAATAAAAAAATAAAATGATAGGGGTTCGATCCCTGGCAGGGAAAATTATTTTCTTTTAGCCTCTGTGTCCAGACTGGCTCTGGGGCCCACCCAGCCTCCTGTCAAGTGGGTATGTGGGTTAAGTGTGGCTGTGGTGTGATGCTGACCGCTCACTCCTATCTAGTGCCGAGGTTGAGTATGAGTAGGATCTGTACCACCTGTTCCGTGTGCCTACGTGGTGCATTACTGGGTGGCTTTTTTCCTTTTTAAAATAAGTGCAGGATAGTTTTAGAAAGAACTGTCACTTGCTGAATACTTTGATATGAAATGTATAGGTATATTACAGTTGGGAAGAGGTTAATGTACAGTAGTTCCATATGTTCTAGCGTGCCTTCCATCCTGCGGAATAGTCGGTATCGGAGAGACCAACGCCAGCTTGAAGAAGAAGAGGAAATGTGGTTCAATGAAGATGATGATTTTGATGATGGTGAGGCAGTAGTTCCAGCAGCAAATGATATTCTCAGCAAAAAGCTGGATTCTGATCTAGATTCAATAGGTTTGTGGATTCAGAGTTTTGTACACAGTATTTTCTAAAATATATTATGTAGCAAGGTTTCTTTTTGTGTTTTAATTGTTGCTTTCCTGTTATGACCTCACAGTAGGTCTGGTTTTTGTGAATGATAAACTTAAAAGCAAAACTTTATGTGGCTTAAAACATCAAGTATTTGTGTCTGTTGCACTATTAAAGTTGGATTAGTGGATTAATTGTTGTGAAATTTACTTCAACATTCAGATATTGATTGATATGATACTGGAGGAATGCAGCAAAATTTGTCAGGGTTTATGTCTTCTCCCAGTACATTTTGAGTTTCTTTGGATGTTATTCTATTTGTTTTTTATTCTGATGTTGGTTAATCCATAACATTTTTCTTTCAGGGAAAATTATTGATAAAAAGCCAGATGGTAATAGTCCAAAGCTGATAAATAATAGCAGCAAAACTGGTAATATCCTTAACAACAACTTGAGCAATAATGCAACGGTAGGATCACCACCGAGTCCGACACCAGGTGACACTAAATCAACATCATTGTTCAAAAAGGTAAATGAACAGAAGAGTATTTGGACCTTCAATAAACCTTTGATTAACCAGGCTAATGAGGTGAATATAATACATGAATAGTTAGAAAACACATGATCAAATTTTTTGTTTGGCGCATTCAAGATCATCAAAAATTAATTTACTTTTTTTTTTTTCTCATCTGATTTTATTTAGAGAAATAGTGTGTAATGGTTGATTGTTTTTGTGTGTTGCTTAGATTCCTCATATCAGTACAGATTTTCTGGCTGTTGTAATACCACTATTAGAATTCATTTTGACCCGTGTAGTATAGTAGTGTCAGCACACTGTAGCACCATGCTTCGACTGGTACACTCGCTACTTTGTTCTCCTTCATTCTAATCCTCTCCACCGTCTTAGCATTCACAGTGTCCATGGCTATAATGTGCTCTGAACACTTTGTAGCAGTTTTTCGTTGTCTTTGTTGATGTATTCAGAGCTTCTCTTAGCACATACCATGTCAAGAATTTCAGACTTTGTGATTTCATCATCAGCAGCAACACTGCTTTCTGTGGTAATCCTCTCTCCTTCAAGATAGCCTGAACTTCTGGATCAAAATGCTTGTGGAACCAGTTTTCAAACATTCCACCATCCATGTATCTGTCTTTCTGGTTGTAATACTGGACATAAGTACAGTTTTCTTCAGTGCTCTTTAATGATTATGGCTTTTTGGTTTTACCAATCACAAGTTCCAGTTTGTGCTTTCCAGATGCATTTCCACAACACGTGATTTATGCCTGGTTAACACACGTCTTTCAAACGTAAGAATTGTTCTTGGTAAAGCTTTCCACTACCAAGCACCTGTAGCATGAGTCTGAGAATAAGGTTACAAGATTTTATAATCCTTTGTTGTGTACTGGTGTGAGATTGAGACTCTCATGGCAGTGAGTATGTAGACAACATCCCAGAGGATAGCCAGCTTTGAGAAACTTCTTCAGACATTTGTGTTGACTACTGTAACTTGTGTAATAAAGCAGTTTCTTAAGCAAGACCCTGTTAATTTAATTATTTCTGTATCTCCTCAGGCTTTGGTGGACTATGAGGGAGACTCTGATGAAGATGAAGAGGAAGAGGGTAGTGATGTTCTGTCCCCTTCCCCCAAGCGTGCCAGACTGACATAGTGCACCCCCAGCAACACAAAACAGTGAAGTGACCAGTTGCTGATCTTGTGCCTGAGTGTGTTGTGAATACTTGGACATTTCCAAGTCTGGTCCAGGTGTGTGGATATTGAAACAACTCTTCATCTCGTTCCTCAAGTAATGGGAGCAACACTTCCTCATATAAAGTGGTAGACATAGTTTGTGACTGAGCTGTCTGAAACATTGAAACTTCACTGCCATGAACAAATGACATTTGGCAGTTAAGTGAGGAATTAACATGGGCTTCGTAGTTGAGTGTATGATCTCGTACAGACTGCATTACCATCTGTGGCAGCAAGGGTGTTTCCTGATGGACAGGCTGTACAGTGTTAAGGTGAATGTGTATGTGAAGATTTATTGTGAGAATGCATTAAAGACAACTTCATAAATTTTGTAAGATGCCTCTCAAAATTAGATTAAAGTATTAAACATGGCATCTGTTGAGTTAATATCAAAGCAGAATAGTTGATATGTGCTCCCGTTTGCATAGCAATGCCATGAATGAATCGATCCAACGAATCCTGGTCCAGCACTGCCACACATATCACTCATCCATCACTTCACTTCAGTTTGGATTGGCAGACCTGTCAGATGGCATCAAACCCTTATATGTGTCTGGTGTCATTTTGTCTTATGGCATAATTGATGTCTAGTTAAAGTTGTATACATTTGTTGATTCTTAAATTAAATGTCTGATAAGAGAATTAATTTTGCTTAGTTTTTACACTAGTGACACAAATTATTGTTTGGAAATGATTTGGCATTTTAAAAATTCCAGCAAATGGGGAAGAAAAGTACTGTTTGCAAATCTGCACCTTACTTTGAAGTGTTTACATGAATTTGTGAATTAAAACAGGACTCTGCATTTGAGTGTTGTGTAATGTCATCAGAGAGGAATAACAAAATAATATTTGCTGCTTATTTATAATATAGAGGAAAAAGAGCAATAGCAGACCTCATTACATTTCATGTTTATCCAACATTTTTATTTAGAGTTGTTTTTGTCAAGTTTTGTTTGGCTTTGAACACATTCTGTAGAAATAACTAAATACATACTCTTGATTCATTTTGTTTTTGTTTTTTTTATGGAAGATAGTTGTAACTCCTTCACTGTTATAGACAAGACACTTTCTGTGCATGGAAAGGTATTCTGTGTGTAGTTTCCAGTGTCCTTTGATATTGATTTCTCATGGCTGCCAGTTTATGTCTGATTTAGTTTATTCGGATCATAACAGGTGGTTATGGTCTTACGCATTTTAATTTTAAATGTACTGTACAGTTGTCTGAGCACTTGAAAGAGGATTGTTACTAGCAACCGGTTAAGGGATTAAATGTGGATGTCAAGAATCTGTTTAGGCAGTTAATTTATAACATCTGGTAGATTACATAATCTGTACTAGGTGGCATTTTAGCACAAAGTATTCAGCTCTTCATATTTATGTAATACAGTCTGCCTTTTGTTGAAATTCGTTCTTAATTATAAAGTCCTTGATAAGATGGTGTTGCCTCAAAGATGGGATACTGTTCTTGTAATTTTAAGTAGACCAGTAACAAACAATGTTGGCATTCACAGAAATGTTTGATGAGAGAACTCATAATTCAGATGAAATACACTGCTTTATTGTGAATATATACACATACGATCATAATGTTTCTATGTAAAGCTTGGTACAATTTTGTTGTTGGTCATTTCACTGTGTTGAGATTTGAAAACAGTACTTGGATAGTGTTTATGCAAATGGTTCGTTGCACAGTAATCTTGTTTTGTTTTGTGTATGTTAGCTGCAGACAATGGGAAAAGATATGTTAAGAAAATATGCTAATTATTTGTGCAGTGTTGCCTATTAATTCTTAACTTAAATAACAGCAGTAAACAAGGCAGCAGAAGTTTGTAATCATATTTTAACAGTTGTGGATGAACAAGATATCCTCTCTTCACCAATATTCCTGTCTCTCTGCAGTATTCTGATTGATGTACAGTGCCTTTTGGCTGTTTCTCAAAATAAGTCAATAGCTATGAATTAATTTTTCAGAAATGATTTCATTTTCTTGAGATTTGTTTGTCTTAGGATTATTTGTTGTTTGTGTGTGTGAGGGAGAGAGAGAGGGTATCGCTTATAACTCATTAACATCTTCTCTGCAGTGATACCACATTTATTTGAAAGAATACTAAAGCTAATGTGGAATTTCTTCTTATCTAGATCCACTGTGTCAGATGAGAAATATGTTTGTTTTATAAGTATGTATGCTTATTTTCTTTATGCATTGAAGGAACTAAGTTGTTTTCTGTGTCACAAATTTATTCTATTATCAGACAAAGAATGTAAGAATTTTAAAGTGTAAATACAAGGCAGGGAAGCTCAGGCATCATAACTACACAGAATTTTGGATGGTATTTTAAAAATGTTAACTGTGAATATACTGTGGGATTGTAAATGTTCCTCCAGCATGAACCATGGCAGAATTTGTGAATATCTTTGTAGGATTGTCCACACTATGTTATATTACTACTTTTACTACTACTACTACTACTACTACTCTACTCTACTCTACTCTACTCTACTCTACTACCATTGCTATCAATTTACTGCTGCTGCTACCACCACCACCACTACTACTACTACTACTACTACTACTACTATACTACTACTACTATACTACTACTACTGCTACTACTACTACTGCTACTGCTACTACTACTACACAAATTAAATCAGGCAAAGGTGATAGTGGAGGTATGTGGGACATAATTAATGCTGTAGTTTTGTATTGAGAACTCGATGCCAGCACTGGACTTTGTGAGTGACAAGTGAAATGTACATTGACACTTCTGCATGTGGCATGTCTGGTCCATCCACAGTGTGCCAAGTGATGTGAGTGTGGTGGGGACAGGGTTGCATGCTGGGGCTTGAAACATTGTACAGTACCTGAGTACCAGACCAGGAAGAGACTCCTCTCCTTTAGATAGTATGTAGGGCAATGGGTTTTTGTAGAGGTTGTAGTCAGTTTTGTCTTTATATATTTTGTTAATAAGATCATAATCATAGAAAAGTAAAAGTATCTGTCTGGTATTTTGACTTGTTCCTAAATTTTCATTTTCACATTGTGTATTTCTGTTCCTCATAGATTGAGGATTTGTTTTATCTTATTTTCTTCTAAAGTCTATATTGCAGTATTTTTGAATCTGACAAGAATACAAATTCCAATATGCCAGTGTGCATTACGTGCTGGAGTAAGGATGTAAGAAACGCTTTGAAGTTTCCATATTTAAAGTTTTACGTAATAAATTTTAGCAATTATGATGAACAGCTATACATTTTATGACATGTTCCATGCCATTTTGTTATGGCAGTTGAAGAGGTTACATAATAGCAGGAACATCACTCCATTTTTATTTTCTACTCTAAACTAATTTTGAGGGCCAACATTATTCACTCCATTGACTGTTCTTGTAGGCAACAGGAGGGGTAGCATTCTTGCTCATGAATTTTGCACAAAATAAATTTGATCCATATTGAAGAACCAATGAAAGAGCCAGTGTACTATACTGAGTTGGGTGTTTGAAATATATGTCTTGTGTACATTTTCATTGCGCCAGCCGGCAGTTTGTGTCTCTCCCCTATTTTCCTGTATCTTGTGTAGGTGTATAAAGTATTTGGACATATTTTGTTTTTATTGAGCTTCTTGTTTTTGCCCTGTCAATTTCTTTGTGGGCTGATTTACCAAGTTTGTGTTTTGAATCGTCGCAGACAACATGTTACAGTCGTAGAGCATTGCCATTGACGTATAGGGAGTCGGGGAATAGTGCACACCACAGCATGTGGCCCTTGGAAATCTGTATTTCTGACCAGTGTCCCCAACTCTCTGTACCTGTTTCAGAGGGGCTGAAGCTAGACCGTGATACCTCGGTTGTTTTGCCCCTCTCCATTTCATCGCTCATCTTTCTAACAACATATTGCCATTGCTATAGTCTTCATGTTTTGTAGAGTCATAAAGAAGGAATTTTTAATTGTAAATTGTAACCAAGTTATATTCAAGAATAAAAAATAATATTAATGTAACTATGTGTTTTGTAAAAAGAACCTGGTGCACATGAAATATCATTTGAATCTCAAGTTGCATATTTTATATATTTTAGTCGTTGTGAAAACTTCTAATTGTCATAATTTATTTTTGGCTAGACTGTGCCAGTACTTGCCATATTTGTGTTATTCAAGATAATGACCAATAAAATTCAGTCCTCGTGTATTCACTGGACTCTAATGTATTAAAGAGCTTTGCTCATGTAACAGCCATGTATCAACCCATTTTTTTTTTTTTTTTTGAGGTTTCAGTAAGATGTCCAAAGTGCATTTTTGAAACCCTTGTACTGATCCACTGGTACCTAACAAAACATGGTGATCAAGAAGTTAGTAGTCATGCTTTGTATTTGGTAGGTCTGAGGTTCAAATGTTGGCTCATAGATAAGCTGACTGAGGTTTTTTTGCATTGTGCCTCAGTTCCTTTAGGCAAATACAAGATCCATTTTAACCAATTGGAACTTCCTTTAGGATCCATTTGCAAATTTCTGATCTGTTGCCATTATGTGTGTAGGCCATCCATGCAGCATTTCATAATTTAATAACTTAAAATAATAGATTATAAATGTTAAAACCTTCAAACATATCAGAGGGACGGTGCCTTCTGGGTGGTTTAAGTGCCTCTTGCTTTAAAAAATTACTGAGAATGAAATTTGTACACTGCATGAACATGGAACAGCCTAACTGGTGCTGACATGGTTTTGTGTAACCAAGAACTGTGTGCTATCTGGACTTAATATAGAGTACAGAGTACTAACTCATGCAAACTGCTGTGATATTACTTGTGAATTGAAATAGTTCTTTGATTATATACAATACAGAAGAAGTACTTAGATCGTTTTCCATTTAATGTAAAACAACATAAATTACTGCTAAGACTTTAAAATATTAATAAAATTGTAATAAGGTAGTGTATTCACCCTCAGTCATTTGTTTTTTTCTGTGCTACATGAATTCATTTACATTTACATTTATTGGCTTCTTAATCATTTAGAAGCAGTGTGTTCACAGCTAATTCTTCAAGGTGAAATGCTGTTGTGTTCATTCCCTACAAGCACGCAACCACTAACAGAAACTGTAAACTTGATAAAAGGTTGGTAGCAGAGCCGACATGTCCCCGAAAGTTGTAAATTGTTCTGTCTGGACAGTGCATGGGTGACCTGGAGTTGAACACAAGTTAGAAATTAGTAAATTTAACTTCAAATGGCCTGCTGAATGGACTCGAGTATTCATTTAAATTGCAAGATTAGAGCAGGTAGCAGAAGGAAATGACCTTTGTTCATGGTGTAACTGTATAGAAATTACAGCTGCCCACAGAAAAGATCTTGATGCTAGATACCAATGGGTTAATATTTTCCATCCATATTTACCTAGTCTCCTAATGAAACTTGCATTGAAAAGAAGGAGAATCAATTGTGTTTTACTTTAAAGTTTTAAACATAAACATGTGCTGGCACAGTAATGCTGTTCCTATTTGTTGCTGGTGAAGGGTAGTCCATGAATTACAAAGAAATATTGCTTATGATTTATAACTGTTATGTACCATTTTGATCATGGTTTTCTGGGTTGTGATGGTGTATTTTCTAAAAGCTAGTTGCCAGCATTTTAGGTGGATGTATTACCTCCATCTTCAGGGTTGAAGTGGCAGCCCTGAAGATCAAGGTGATTGTTCCCGTGAAATGTTGCTAACCATGTATGGGACCACACTTTCACAATCCAGAAGACCATAATTGGCATCTTCACCATTGTGAGACCCTCAAATCTCATGTTATGTACTAATTTAAATGCATGTACCCTCCACTGTAGTTAATTATAAGATGAAATATATTTATGTAGGACAATATTCTTATTGAACTGTCCAATAAAAGTATTGTCATGTACTACACACAACCAAATGCTTCAATACAAAATATTTATGTAGGCTCTGTAACTAATCATTTTAATTACTGTTAGAAAACATTTGTATATTTGTTTCTATTTTATACATTTGTTAATCATTAATTTTCTTTGTTTTAAAATCTACTGTGACTCAACAAGACAATTTTTATTTCAGATATTCCATATTTGACAGTTCTGTCCTTCAGTGTTATATTATGATAATCACATAAAATATAATTCAGATGTAAATATGTAAGACTTGAGGTTCTCACAGCGGTGAATATGAAGATTTCTGTCTTCTGGGTTATTGCGCTGTGTAGTCTACACAGCGCAATAACCCAGAAGACAGAAATCTTCAGATGTAAATACTTGCACATATTGAATCAGGTATGATTGTTCAGAGCTGGTTGTCTTTTAAATGTGAAGGTGTTAATAATTCTTAATTTGGGAGAAGAACTGTTGCATGTCCTTGCACATCAGGTATTAAGTTGTCTTGTGGAGTCATGTTTAAATGTGTTATATTGTACTGTACTTAGGTTTGTGCAGTTACTTTAATAGTAATGACATAAACTGTGTGCATGTATTTTACTTGGATCAGTAGGTAATTAGCATATGTGCTGAAGATTGTATGTTTTATGAATGAGTATATATGTGCCATCATACTGTCCTCAGTTGGTTGCTTATTTAAACGAAATAGTTTTCTTGGTATGTGGCATTATAGAGCAGACAGTATACATTTCATATACTTGGTTATAATTATAGCATTTTCAATATAAATCCACCATATGGCTTATATTCTGGGTAAGTTTTTTGACTGTTGTATGTAGTGCATGTTTGGTTAATGATATAATGCGTGTGTTGTGCTGACTGACCTAGTTCCTTTCCTTACACATTGCATCCAACTGTGTATGATGTTTTGGAAATAGAAGAGCACATTTTTTTCTTTATATATATTGCAGGCTGGGGTTTGATCCCAGACAGGGGCAGAGGATTTTTCCTCTAGCCTCTGTGTCCAGACCGGCTGTGGTGCCCATCCTGCCTCCTGTCCAGTGGGTACCAGGGTCCTTTCCCAGGGGTAAAGTGCAGCCAGGGTGTGATGCTAACTACTCCCCCCTATCTAGTGCTAAGGTTAAGAATGAGAAGAATGAGTAGGAGCTATACCTCCTCTCCCCCCAAGCATCTACACAGCATGTAGTGAGACAGCTTTACTGTACTTACAGATTGAGAAAACTGTAAATTCATATAATAGGGAGGTTATGTTTGTCCATCTGCATGTTTCAAACCCTGAATTTACTGAACAAATTTTGATGAATTTTTATTCTGGGTGACCTCCACTAAAAGCCTATATCGTAGAAATAGGGCATTGTGAGAAGGTTGTGTTTGCTTGTCATTGCTATGTGGTAGTTGTGATTTGCAGGGAAAGATTTTTTTTGTTTTGTTTTGTAGTTGCCATACCATATACCATCATCAGTACAGATCTGAAGATGGATCCTGTCTGCCATGACATTTTACCGAGAATGTTCATGTAAGAAAATGTAGCAACCATTTGATCAGTAGTGAGCTAATCATGTGATTCTTGTACAGTTCCAAGTTATTGACAATCCTCTATGTGGAGGTAACCATTGTCACCAAGGGTCAAAAGTTGCAGCAAGATTTCTTGAAAAGGAATGTGATTTAGGAAGACATTGCAACTAGGAGGAAATCATGTGTTTACAAGTAATTGTTTACTCATCTCCCTGTGTGTTTTGAACTGTGGCTAGTCAAAGACTGGGTCCTTCTGCATGACAGTGCGCTGGCACATTATTAACTGCTGATGAAGTTGCATGTCATGAAGTGTGGTGTGGTGATGACACCTCAGTCCTGCATTTTACTTTCTACTGTCATAGGACCGTTTTGAAGTTCTGCCACTTTAAGAATGCAGCAGACGTTTAAGTGGCTTCAAAGATTGAATTTTTGAAAGTAGCGATGTGGTGGCTTCCATAAAGGTTTCACACAACTGTATGAACACTGGCTTAAGCGTATCCCTGCTGATGAACAGTATTTCAAAGGTAACTATATTTAAGATGTTCCTAATGCCACCAGATTCAAGATTTTGCCCCTATCCTGACTGAATTATACAACAGCGCACAAGATACTCATACAAAAAGCTGACGTTCCACATCAAACAGAGAGGTTGGAAATTAAACAAGTTGAAGTTCATATATTTCTATTGCACAAAGAACCTTCAATAAGTACATTTTCCATGAAGTTGTATTCATGCAAATAATAATATTGAATTACTGAAGTGAAATTATCTCAGTTTAATACTAGAGCAAACAGTTTCATATTCTGTCTTTTATACTACATAATTTTTTTAAAGTTTTCAGAGGATTGTACTCTGTATCCTATATTTTTGGAGGGGAGGGATCACTGCTGTCCTTTGATTACAGTACCTATATTGACATCACAGTCTTTAACAGAAGTTCAGGGCAGCATCCTGACTCTCAAAAGAGCACCAGGCTATTGGCCTAACACTTCCCTACTTCACCTTCAGCTACATTTTAATAATTTTTGTTCTGATATGTTGGCAGTATAAAGCTGTAGGCTGTTCTCTACCATATTAAATAATTTCTGTTCTTTAATTTTAGGAAGGACATCATTAATTTTCTGCCTGTGTCTTAGTATTCAATTGACACAAACATTTCCTACAAATATTCCCTTCTTTCATACTGTTGGCTTTCATGGTGAGTTTTTCTGTTGGTCTAGAAGAGGCCAAGACATGCATCATACCACTTCCTAAGCTTCAAAATACCATCCAGTATTACCATTTTTTAACTAAATGTGATGAACTGGCAACTCATCAAATTGTCTTCTAACCAGTCAAGCAGCAGTGGAGTTCTAAAACCCAAAAATCTCTAAATGTTGGAGAGTAAAAATGTTTTATAGGAGAGTGGTGAAGAATACAATAATTTTATAGTTTGTAAGAAAGGGAGTCGGATCTAAAATATTTAGTTTTAATTAATTGAAACGACATATGAAGATGTTTTATGCTTTCACACACTTTTTTATTTCATACATGTTAATGAAGTGAAAAATTAATAATGCATTAACTGACAATAAGTAGCACAATCATAGTTTTAAATGTGTGCAAATTGACAGTGTACCAGTTTTAATTAATCAATAATATATGTTGTTAATGTTGTGTATATCTTATTTATTTTAAAAAAGTCAGTATTATTAAATGCTGAAAGTGTTCTGCTAAAATACACAAAATTAAGATTGTTTTGTTTTAATATTTCTTTTGGGATACACTACATTTGTACAAACAGACAGGAAAGGCAACTTGAAGGTGACAGTTACATGTTTCTGACGAATTGGCTTCAGGGGTGTGAGTACAGTAAATAGAATGTCTTGAACTTGGGCAATGATTAAGAAGCCAGCTGTTTTATAGCATGTTTGAACACTGAGGTTACACATTTATTAGATTAAATGCATGGTTTTTCAGTTCAATTACTTTGTAAATGTGCGATTTTGTGTTGAAATGTGGTGATATAATCTTTACTTTCTGTTCTAAAGTTTGAAGCCATCACATTGTGCAGTGGGATTTATCTCAGTTTTAAGTAACCTTATTGCTGTGGCCAGACATTTTTAGTTTTGCCTCTATGATTGCAAGGACAGAAGAACAAGGACATTATATGCTAGTTAAGTTATAAATGCCATTTTCATTTTATAGATTGTTTTCCAAATTATATACAAAGGATAGGCTACTTGAAAAATTCAAACAGGAGCATACACAGTCTAGATTCTAGACTCTAGAACTTCCTTCCAACCACTTCAGATTTCAGTCGTTCTGCAAGAGCCTTCCGCACCTGCAAGGTTTGTGCATTGATTTCAGGCTGACCAGCAAGTGCCAACTGTGCTGCTTTTGCAGATCTAGGACGCTGCTTGCTGCTACCAGTTTCCACTGCCTGGAGCTGCTTTTCTCGTTCTTGCTTTTTAAGGGCTAGAAGTTTGTCTCGCTGTGCATTCAGGTATTCTTGTCTTCTCATCAGATCTTCAGCATCAACCTGCCGGAAAGAGAGTCTTGGTGTATTACTCCAAGATTACAAGCCCTCAGTATGGAATTTCCAGAGCTGTATGTACTATACTGTACCAACAAGATGTGTTATACAAAATTGTTTGTTTAGTAATATTACAAAATGTGAGACATCATACTTTACAAATTTATACTGCCCCTTGATCTGATTTCAGCCAAGTGTTGGATCAGAGGGGAAGTTTTAACTGAGCACCAAATATGCTAATTCCATGAAAGAGTCTTTTCCTTTCAGCATTTATGACTACAATTTTATATGAATTTGTCATGTATTCCAATGAGGGTTGTTCAAAGTTTCAAACGTTTGTACCATTTGTGTTAAGAAGAACCAAACAACAGAACAGACACTTCACTAGCAAATGATGTAATATGTGTATGTGCACTTGAGCAATTAAGGCTGGCAAAGCGTAGAATGTATTAAAGAATTTAACAGTTTTGTGGACTTATAAACATGAAACATATCTTCATTATTTGAGCTCCCTGCATACTTCTTTACACCTCATATGTGTAACAGTTAAAAGGGGCACAGCGGTGTCAGCCTTTGTCAATATTACAATTCCATGTACAGGTTCATTGCAGGTTGCAAATTTCAACTTTTTTGTTTTAGATGTTCAGGTAAGTTATAACACTAAATTTCTGTGACTGCTGCATGAATTTGTTGGGCACTTTTAGCTTAATGTGTAGATGTGAAGTTACCTGTTTTTTTATCTGCATTTCATCCTCATATTTTGTGGGCACTGATTCTTCTTTCTGCAATTGCGGTTCTGAAACATGGTTGTTTGTGTTACTCCTACAGAGGAAAAACTCTCACTCCCAGAAGATGTGAACATGATCTAGAGATGAAAGTTCAGTTGCGTGGTAAGACAGGTAAGGTGGGTATGAAATTCAACCATCTAGTGCATTGGCCATCACTTTATTTTGTCATTTCCTGTTATGGCAAATGATTTGATTTTGATTGCCACATGCTTGGAGGCAGTTTTGTGAAACAAAATGTTACTGGAAAAGTCAACTTTGGCTGTGGACATATTAAATTTCTTAGAAGACGTGATAGTCGGTAGTTACCTGCGTTCTCTTGTAAGGGTATTGGGTTAAAGTCTGGCTGTGCACAATGTAGATTTTTAATTCAGGGACACTACACTTTAAAAACCTACTAGGATGTCAATAGCATGAAGTACTGTTATAGTAATTTGTAATAATTTTAGAAAAAATATGTTAAAGACTTTTGTTTAAATTGTATCAGGTACACTGTGACAGGGTTTTTGGGGCTTCAGAACACTTAATGTACCAATTGTGAGCTGGAGTGCAGTCTGCAACAGCCCCTTCTCCCTTTTGCACTCTGCTTCCAAACGATGGCGTTCCTCAGGTGATGACACAAGGCTCTGTTCTATCTCCAGAGTAGATCTGTCCAGCATCTGCTTGTTTATCTCATACTCTTCAAGTGACTGCCTGTATCACGTGCAAGGTGACAAGATTATGACCAAGAATGGTAATTGATTACGGGTTTTAATCAAATATTCAGTACTAATTGTTTAAACTATAAAATAATGTGTAATCTTCAGAAGCTAATGACCCTCTCAAACAAAAGCAAGCTGTAATAAATCTCGTAAAGAAGACCCATTTCATGAACAAAATAAGCACTTGAATACAACAAAATAACATTGTATTGTATTGTAAAATAAATTATTACATTTATACAGTGACTTTTTGATCATTTTTATACTGCTCTTTTCTTGATTTGCTTTGTCAACGGTTGACTTGTATGTTGACCTTTGTTTTGAATTTCGGCCACAGTAAACGATGATTAAGGCAAAAAAAACGGAAATTTATTTGTTTCTGTCATGAATAAAAAGTATAGACAGGAGTGTCAAACCTTTCAGAGTACAGGCCACTTTATGTGAACTGTTGATGTAATTTATGGTTATGTTATAGAAGTAACATTATTTTTCATGCTATCAAAATAATTTCACAAATTATTAAACCAATAATTTGCATATAGGGCAGTTTTAAACTGCTTTTCTATCAAGTCACTATGTCCACTTTTGCAGGTGATAATTTGTAATTCTACTCCTTGGCTTTTGTATGAAATGTTTTCTTATTATAGAAGAGTTGCACATATATATAGGTAGTGCCAAATTGTTATACAAGTGCACTGGCTGCCTGTTCAGGTGAGAGAAGAGGTTTAGAGAGACATGTGAGTTTGTAAAATTTAAGAAGAGCTGAAGCAACCTGAGCCTGTCAGGCTTCTTGGCATTTTGAATTTTCCCCATCAGTGTTTAGATGTGCATGAACATCAGGAAAATGTAAGAACCTAACACTGCATAGTGATGGTGTAAATATAAAAGCACAAAACTGATTTTAGTGAAACATACAGACAAATATAATAAACAGACTGTATGTAAACCACAAATCGTAGGTTACACATGACAACCAATCTTTACTTGATAACCTCCTCCATGATTCGGGATTCCTCCTCTGTCTGCAGGTTTTCATCACCATCTGTTGGCAGGAATGACTGCGGTGTGATGCCATAGCGCTGCTGGATCATCTCCAGTGCTTGCAGCTGAAGCTCTACATTCTTCTGGATCATCATCCTCTTGAATATTTCATAGTCATTAGCTGCCCACACTTGTTCAAACAGGGTCTGCAACAGGCACATGACTGTAAGTTTCAAGTGTACAGATGCAGTGTTAAAAATTTAAAATATACTTGGACTAAAGGATTAGTGTTTTTTAAACAATTTAGTTTTGAAGAGAACAATTATGAGATATAGCCCTCTGAAGCTAAATAAATTTAAAAATGTATATACACATTTTTAACAAGAAATTGCTGTAGGAAGTGAGATTAGTGCACCTACTTGTTGAAAGCGTATTTGCAAGCCTCCTGCTGAGTTCTTACTGCATGCATTTTCAAATTGCTCTGGTGTAATACCAATGTCTTCCATATAACTTCCCAGCATTGAGTCCACCTAAAATGAAAATTGTAAATCATAAAATGTAAGTGCCTATCAGAAGAGGAACATATATTTATACAGTGACATTAAATATGATGACATATTCTGTGAAGATTTGTATTTGAAATGGACATTTGGATTATCAGTGGTTTTGTAGTGGTGGTTGTATACATGTAAGAAGGTTCTTACAAACTTTAATTCTCTCTGTACCAATGAACTCAATGTTCTAGCGTAGCTTTCGAAACGTCCTGGGATCGATCCTGATCATTCATATTTTTCCAAATATCCTGCTATATTTGTCCGAGTGTATCAGGTGTTGATACGTTTGTTTGGTCATTTTGCTGGCAAAACTTCTGAAACAAGTGAGTGAGATGCATGTAATTGGTTGTTTCGGCTACTTGAGTTACATGACCGAACCAACGTGGCCTGTCTGCTTTAACAACACAAAAATCCCTTGAAGAAAAGTGTATTTTACAATTCCCATATTTTGTCTGTTATGTCCCAGTATTGTCCGTTCCACTTTGTCATCAGACATGTTCAATTGATTTTTTTTTTTGGCACAGTAAAATAGTGTTCCATAGCTGAAAAAATAAACAGCAAACTAATCTAGATACCTTATAACGTAATCTTAAAAAGGTACTGGACGTGCCTACAATGCGATACGAATTAAGAGCATTGGAATGTAGTTTAATTAATATCTACACTTTAGACAGTCTTGTTCATGCTTCACAATATGGAATCCACCATTCAAGTTTAACTTGATTTTAGTACAAGGAATTGTGCTAATGCTGCCCCCTTTCTTCATTTCAGCTTCATGAAAACAAACTCTCTTACCAGATCTTTGTATTCTTCGTAAATTTTCTTGTACTCGTCTTCATGTTCCGAGTGTCCTGGTTCGAAGACTGAAAAGTGCAAAATACAAAATCATAACAGTTCCGTCATGAGTTTAATTTGAAAGAAGCGATTTTATTTGTATGTTCCCAGTATACTTTGTAATTTTCATTGATAAAAGTCATTGTATTTAGATTAAAGGGTCAAGATTGTGCAGAGTAGACCAATTTACTTTATCAGTATTCTGTTCATGGTTTTTGTCCCATTAGGTGGAGCATAGCACCAAAAGGGGCATGGATTCCATTGGTACTTCAAGAACCCAAAAGGATTCCATGGTCAGATTAGTTCGGGAACACTGCCGCTGAAGAACGAGTAGTTCAAAACGCCTGCAACACTACATTTGGGCCACCGTCTTAACTGGGGAATTTGCCTATAGATGTCGCGGTCTATTTAAAACTTCTTGGGTTTCCTAAGATTTTAGGTTCTGACGGCGGCGAGAATGAAGTTGATTTTTTTTTGGGGGGGTGGAGGGGAGGGGAGGGTGAGTAAATCGCCGTGGAGACAGGAAACCTCCTCTGGGACGCCTGTAAACTCTACCAGTCTATACGGCGAAAATTCTGAAAAGACAGTCAGTCTTTAAAACGAAAACAGCAGACCTCTGTAACCAACCACGAAACCGAACTGTTGAGTAATTAGAACGAAAAACCATCTAACTTATGGTATACAGGGAAGGTAGGCTTTCTCTAACACGCTGATAGTAGAACCTTAAACTCCAGCATTGTTGATAGAAAAGTCTGCTAGTAGACACATTTTGGAGTCAATTTCATCTTCAGATTCTATTAACAGTTAATCTAAATGTTGTTGGATTTCAGATTTCACTGCGTTGTGAACTTAGATTGTGGTCTTTGAGCTGTAATGCAGCGTAGTGTGTTAGGTATCAGGTACCTATCCCGAAGGCCACTTCTAGGGCGAGTCGTTATAGCGTTAAAGTAATGACTTTATGTCGCCTACCTGATGACTTTTGTTCGATGAATGTTAGTATTGGAGCATTCCATATTGGTCCCTGCAGAAACCCCACCAGTGAATCGAAGACCCAGGAACAATCTTCTGATCCCATTGTTAGTAATCGCATAACAAACCAATCTGTTTTATTGTCGGTACAAACATGCACGCCACAAATATAGGAATCTATCGAATACCCACTGGTTGCTATAGCAACGAACTTCAAAACATTGCCGGTCTCGCTGTCTATAGGTCTTGCAGAACTTCAGTTCCAGTAAACTGACTCTTGTAAATGTGGTTAATACATTCTGTATAGGCCATAAACCTGCAATGAAATGACTTAAACATTTACGGACGTTGCGGTATTATTGCCTTATACTTTTATTTGGAAGAAAAATCTGCAAAATAATGCACTGAGCAGATACAAGTTCATAATTTGACTCACTATTGCATAATCTGATGAAACATCCAAAATGTCCGCGCGTCCATTAGATACTTCTGCCATGTTCTTCTATGGAAATATCTGCATGAATGTTGAACGTTTACGGTTTTTATAATGTAAATAACAGTTTAAACTTCCAGTAAAAAAGGCAAGGTTTTATATATTTTGATATTATTTTGGAGAGCAGAAGAGATGATTATTTTTAAGCCGGAAAAAAGAAACTTATATAAAAAACAACAAACAAACCTAAAAGGAAAAAGACACACAGGAAGATCTAATAACGATTTTCTTTAACTGCAGAATTCAACATTTGCATATAGATCATGAAATTTCTAGTTACTTAGTACGTCAGCGAAAGCAGCTTATTATTTTAATCGTGCTAGGTGAAGTTCTAGAGTTATGCAGCAAGAGTTCAGACGCAGATAAAATGATGTAATTCAGATCTATAGACAGAATGCAAGCTACCTTTGCTTTACTTCCGAAGTTTAACCTGAATAGCTGACAAAAAAGGGCGAAGTGAATACTGAAGACTTTTCGACCATCGACCAGTATAAAATGGAAACAATGTCAGAGGAAGAAAAAGATGATGACATTAAGGATTTAAGTTGATAGATTAATCCAAAGATGACACAGATCGATGTGGGAAAGTTTGTGATTGAGGATTGCTCGCTGGTGACACAGATAATTTATGCAAGCATTTTCATTTTATTTTGTATGGAATTGAAGCTACAGACGAGACGGCTGCTTGGAATCGTGAGATGGCTTATGATGACTCCATTGCGTATAACATATTGTGCATGTATATCACTAATAACCAATTCATACGTCATCTGTGGTATCTGTTTGTGTGAGCGACCCTCAGCGGGGAATTACTCTGTTCTAATTTTGTAGAACAGTTTCTGGTGTTGCTCCAATAATTATTTCTTTTTTCACTTTGTATTGATGCCCGAAAATCGGAATCTTACATAACTCGTTCTTCCTGAAGGGGTTTTATTTGTGGATACACCTTTTCTCTTCTAATTTATTGAGCCAATTCGGTAAAGCGGGTGGATAAGTGGTACAAATTCCGTTCGAGTCCTTTCAGATACATACTGAAAATTGTTTACGTTCATCGGGTACCACCTTCACAGACTCCTAGGTCCCGGGGACCGTAGGTTGGCAACCACCGTTGGTTTAGCGGGATTTCATCTGTCAGAAATTCGTTGTCACTGATTTCCTAAAGCAATAACACATTTGATATTTACGCAATCAATCATTTGGCGAGTAGAGTAATGTAACTTGGTATTTTTTCACGTAAGTGATGCCTGACTATGACTGACTAATAGATATATCGAGTAGCTGCACATTATGTGACCTGTGATAGTTAGCTATGTCTGTAAACGACGACAAATTTTAATGGGTGGCAGTGGCGACCGGAATCGTGCTACCAAATTGAGAACGTGTTTGGTGGTGGGAAAGAATTGTAGTTTGCAGAATGTTGTTGACAGATTGGATATTTCGTCAGTTTTTGCCATGTTTTTATAGCGCGCAGTGTTAATTCACGTTGTTTTTAGTAAAGACAAATCTGATTTAATAGAATCATTATCTGACAGAAATTACACTTTTCTTCGTCAAGGATTGGCAATGCCAATGAAATAAAAGACGAACATAAAGCAACGTATTACTTGGCGCGTAAATGTACGTGTATGTTTATCGCCGAAGTCAAATAAAGTCTGAGTAGATAACATTGGAATTGTAGCTGGGTGTATAGGTGTCCGTGATCGCCGTCCTGACCAGGTTAACTTTTCATGTGTGTAAAACGGGTCCGTGTTTCCAAATTTACAAGTACTCAGCAAAGTGTTGATGGCAGGGAACTGTGGTTAGACATAGTCCATCATGACACGTCCAATCTGTGTTTTGAATTTACAGTTAAAGGCGTGTCGGTATTGTACACGGGGAAAGAATTTATTTTAAGTCTTATTGTAATTGTGTCGCTGTTAGCAACGCTGGACATTTATAACCCCAATTTGTGTGTTGTAGCTTTTCTTATTTTTTTAATTGGGCATCTGGTTGCGAAAGTGCTGTGGAATGTTAACAGCGGTTAGTTAATTTTAATATTTTAAATTCCTGGGAAAGTGGTGTATTTTAATGTAATATTTACCTGGTGGTACATTGATTGGAGAGTTGCATTAGGCTGAAGTCTGATCCATTGTTTGGAGAATGGGAAGCAAATTGAAAATATTGTGTGTCCACAATGTAGAATGACGTTTCAGTTCTCAATGATCGCCAAATGATCAGAATTTGTTGAGGTGAAAATGCAAATTGCTATATGGATTGTTTTAGAGCTAACCAAACTCAGCCAATAAGGAGAATTTGTGTGGGACTAAAAAAATTACTTTGTAATGTGGCAAGGGGAACCTGTACTTTTATCCTTCCTTTATGTTGGAGGCTATGATGTTTGTGTTAAATCAGTAAAACACAAGTCTGAATTCTGAGGAATTAGGCAAATCAAAATTGTTTGTATGTGATGTAGATCTGATGATTGGAGTTCTCACGAGATACTGGTGGTTTTAGTTTACAGATTATTGAACTTCCAAACATTTTGGCCATCTGGCTATTTTCCATTTCTGTGTCACAGCATTTGAATTTTTAAATGGCAGAGTAGATTAATATTTATCTCTAAACGTGAATTCTGGATGTAATTTATTTTACAAATCATGGTCATAATACCAGTATGCATGTCTTTTTAAGAGTCGCTACTCCTTGTGGCTCCAGTAGGAATCCAGCTTACAGCCACATATCATTCTGGACATCAGACATCACAGTTTATACCATGGCACTTCATTATAGATGTTGTTATCAATGAAGCAATAACTGGGGTATGTAGAAGGCTTTTTATGGTGTACAGAGTTATGTTTTTACATAAAATTGAGTCTAACAAAAGTGACTATTTCTCAAGTTTATGATGATTCAAATCAGTTGTAAACATTTGTGACAGTGGCATATTACATGTAGCAGTACTCTTTCTGGACTTTGTCATCTGGTATTCTGAACAGGACACATTTTGGAAATTTTTCTATTCTGTTTGGAATGCTAAATGAAGGGAAGAGCCCAGAAATTTAGTAATGCAAATAATAATGTTTTTTTTAAGTTTAGGACTACAATGTTGAAATAAGCAGGAAATTAATAGATCTGTGCAGTACCTCAAGGAGTTTTTGTGATTTATACTCTCACAGTACTGTTAGGGTAGTTAAATATAGGAGTTTGTAATGACCATTTTCTTACAATGTGTTCCAAAGTTGATGTGTAATCTTATGATAATAATGTCTTTTTCAGTACCGAGTTGTCTACTATCTTGCAGTGCTGGTGGAGCAGCCACATCATGCAACCACCAAGAAGAAGCTGATTCCACTGTTTCAGGTAGATTCATGTACAATGAATTTTAAGTGGATGGGAAACATCTTAATTCTCGTATCATATACAAACATGAGATGATTCATAGCAAATGTTTCTTTGCAGTATACAAGACCACGCCTGGCATGTCTGGAAGTGATCTACCAGAGTATTCAAAAAGCACTTTTGTTCCAGAAGTCAGTAGAGCAAAGAGAGAAGTTGTGACCACATTCAGGAAGCTGTTAGAACCTGACTGCTACTGGGTGTCAAGAGAATTAGGTTTCCAAGTTGTACTTCCACCTTGCTCAAAAGTTGGTAAACACATATAGAAAATATGGATATTGAACCATTATCCATCAGCTGTTTTAAGAGCTTTGAATTTAGATTATTTGTTAGGTGTTCCCACACGATTGATTTCAGCAATTTCTATTTTATAATGAAGTCCTAAAGTCTTTATCTTCATTAGTCTTAAAAAGAAAACCATCATGTGATTAATATGTGAAAAGTAGAAGGAATAACATTTTGACATAACTCTTTGTTTACTTTGTCAACTTGTTAATGCATAAAAGTTAACTTGGCCATCATGTTGATGATGTTGATGTCAGGTGTCCTCTGGTAGCATAATCTCATGCTGTGTTTCATAGGATTTGGCATATGTATTTAATGCAGTGAAACAGGCATACAGATGTGCTAATAATGATACCATAAGCCTTGCTTTCCTTATAAAATATGGACATAGGGCTTGGGAAGAAACAGTTTTTGGTGTTTCTGCAGCATATTTGCTAATTTTCAACTTGAGCTTAACAAGAGAGACTTGGGCACAAGAGTTGTTTCACGTTGTGAAGGTTATTGTAGGTTTGCCAAGTTAAGTTGCAGGAAATGAATAATTTCTAGCAGTGGGCTAACATAAAATTTTGGTAGCAATCAGAAAATTGACATTGGAAGCTATACAGAAGCGTCAGATGGTGTACACATAGTGAAAATTTGTGTTAATTAGCTTTGAAGTAGAAGTTTTTTTTAATAATTGTAAATATGTGTATTGCTTATTTTTCATTTCAGGTATTAAAATGGGTGCCGGTTACAGTGACATGTTCCATAGTGTTGGTAAGTACACAGCATTAAACCTGGTCTGTTATTGTGAGAAGGAACTTTGATTGGTGATATATTAAAACAATGTGGTGACAAAAATATTTGGACTTGTGAGAGATTGACTAATGGGAAATGAAAGAAATACACAACAAGGAGCATCACCAGTTTTGTATGTTTTATTCACTATATAATTTCTAATATTGCTTGTGTTTTTGGGTGCTAGCACCATGTTGGAATGGGGCTGTATTGTGAACGTTTAGGAACATGCTGCCTCGGTTTTAGGGTATGAGTATGCAGGATGAAAATACAGTTTGTTATATATAAATTCTTTTATATTTCTGTGTGTGTGTGCACGCGTGTGTATTTGTGAAGTTTAGACACTTGTATTTCCTTTTCCAGGGAGAGGCCATCAGCAGTGGGAGGAGGATATGCTATCTAATGTGCATCACTGTGATGGTAGTAGAGCCAGCATTGACTCTACCAGTGTACGTTGCCTGAGACGTAGTCTTTCTGCTAGTGAGTTACCAAGCCTGCAAAGTTCTGCATCAAAGTGGGACATAGGTTTAAAATTAGGTGACAAAAGCATGGTGACACAAAATGAGTCTCCTGCGATTTACTTGATACCTTTGAAGGATGTACAAAGTGGAAACACTGTCTCCATGACTTCTGGTACTGGTGACAGTAACTGTCACACTGTTCCACAAAATGTTGACAGACATGTACATTTATCAGGAGGTACACTATCCAGAAGAGTTATGTCAAGAAAGGGGAAATTTCATGATGTGTGTAGCTTTGAATCAAGTTATCCTTCGCAGAAGAGAGGGGTACCAGCAGACAAACTTGCATGCTTGGTTAAGGAAAGCTCATCACTTGTTTCACTGGATGAGCAATTGTCTCCATGTTGCAATCAAAAGGGGTTGCAGTCATTTAGTGACCAGACCAGCCAGTCAATTAAGGAATTGAATGGTGATGTTTTGAAGGATACGACTAACGCATTAGGAAATTTAACTACTAAATATCAAAAGAAGTGTTACCAAACACAGGATCTGACCATATACTCTGAAGGAATGTGCCCTACTGATTGTACTGGATCATGCCTGAGCCTTGCAAGCCACTGCTTGGAGGAATCTACAGCTGTGCTTATGCAAGAACACAAAATGATTGAATTATCCCAAGAAGTATGTAACAGTGACATGGAACGCACTGAAGTCCCCAGATGTACATGTTGTGATGCTGATGACAGTTGTAATTCTGGATGTTGTGCTGTTACCACAGAATGTAGAGATATGAAGCATGTGGATGTTAACACTGGTACTCCATCAACAGGTTCCAGCAGTCGTGACAGATCTTGCACTCAGGCTGTAGGTTACAGTGACTGTATTTCTGCACATGGAATAGAGATCCGGAGTTGTAGATTCCGTGATGTTTTGGAACCACCAGACTATCCAAGACCTCTCAGCTACACACATACTTTAACTAGAAGTCAGTTTCAGAACCATGTTAAAAGCATTGAGGGTAAAGTTTATTTGGATGTGAACGACATCTTGTCTTATAATGATGACTTCATGAGGCCAGAACCGAGAACAAGATCAATGAAAGCTAAGAGATACAACTTGAAGAAGTTGCTTCAAGACATGATGAGTTATCCGACAGTGGTATTGTGTCGAATAGATGATAAAATTCAGGAAAAGTCATTTGTAAATTAATTAGATCTTTTGTGTGAGGGGTAATTCAGTGCTATTAATGGGGGGGGGGGAACTTATGAAGTTTCAAATATTAAAAAAAATTATTGGAAATATGTTTCTTTGAATTGAGCTTGCAGTAGAGTGTACATAGTACAGTGTTTGTGTTACTATTTTTTATAATTTATTAACATAGTCACTGCTTAACTAACTCCATGGAGCAGAGTCCTTGAGAAGTCATGAGCCCAGCACTGGTACTTGTCCTGAGCCAGATGAATTCAGTTCACTCACTATCTTACATGTTTCATTAAGATCCATTTTAGTATTAACTTTCCATCCAGCAGTCACTTCTTTGTGAGAGATGGTTTCTCTACCAGAAATGTTATGGTACAACATCAAAATTGTTCTTTGAATCTGATTAAGAAAAGTAACTAAAACATATCAGTAGTTTGCATATAAAATTATACTACGCTGATCTTTTTTTTGCCTGGAGTGTATTTTACACAAGTTTTTTTAATGTTCAAGCGAACTCGTGGAAAAGCTACAGAACAAGCCAACAGAAAGTGTTTGTGCTCGAGTTTTGTATATAAGTCTTTGTTCATGTGTTAGTTTTTAGTTTGGGTATTATTGTGTTTTGTTATGTTTTGAAGTATTCAAACTAATGTTGAATTCAGCTTTTGGAAGCAAGTACACAGTCTGTTTCATCACTTAATAAGGAAAGCGTCTGATAAATTGTACTGTTCACAGCCTGTGTGTTATTTGAAGTTTTAACCTCCACAGTTTGAATATGGTTTTTGTGACAGATATTGGGGATTTGGTTTCTCTGTGAACCAGTATGGTTGAATATAATTTTATAAGATTTGAAACTTTCAAAGCTACTGAATGCTATGAGTCTTCCAGGAGTTACAATCATGAGATGATTTCATTGTAAATATGGTTGTCATATGTAATGTTCTCATAGTTTTCTGTGCTGGTGGCTGTTAAATATTTTCTTTTCTTTTTGTGTTAATGTAACAAATAATGTAAATGAGTTATATAGTGTAAGGAAAATGATGAACTATGTGGATTGTTGTTTGTTGCAACTTGATTTTAACATCACTGATAGGTGTTAACAGATGAATCTGAACATTGGTACTACTTTTAGATATGAAAGTGTTTTTGTCCAGCTGTGTCAAACATTAGTATGTGGTCCTTTTAAAACAAGAAAGAAAGAAGTAATAGTCATTTGTGCAGTAAGGTGAACAGAACAACTCCCAAGCATTAGCATTGTCAAAAATCCTTAGGTCGATGTGGTTCAGTGTGTTGATATAATGGTATATTAATCCAGCAGAACTGACATTTCATGTACTAATAAGAAGCCATAATGTGAGTCCAAGAGCTATTTGATGAGTGATTAATTTTGTCTTTTGCATTCTCTTTTAAGGATAATTTGCCATTTAAATAAAAGTGTAAAATGTTAAATGGTTTACTCCAGCTTCTTTCTGTAAATCAAACATTCTTACATTTTCAGCCTGCAGAAGATTTTTAAAGTTATTTCCTGTGTGGTATTTTTACAATTTCAAGGTGGTATGTATTTCACATATAATATGAATGCTGTGACTTTTAGTTCAACATCAGATTAGGAAAGTATTGAAGGTGTACCAAAATAATATGGTAATTTATAATTTAAGTAAAACATTAATTCTTAAAGATTATCGAGCCTGTATTTTTATGCCGTATTGTGAGAAGTATGAATACAGTGTTTGAATCACATTATTTGTAGTTTGAGTTTCCCGCTGGTGTATGAATACCGGAAGCGTGTTAAAAAAACAATTACCTTCTTTTGCTGATGACATAATGAATCGCGTCTCCTACCATCGTAGTTTGTTTCTAGCAGCTTTATCATCTGTGAACGTCGTTGGGGTAGTAGGGCGTTTGGTAATTTAGAAAGTGCATTGATGTGATTTGGCTTGAAGCTTGTTAATTTTGTGGTGTGAGAATATAAGAGTTCAAAAAGATATAAGATGGAAATGAAGGGCGGTAAGGAAAATCCAAAAGAATTTACAGATGGTAACATCCACTTAACACAGAAAGAAAGTGGCGACCACCTGCCAGACAAGTCCAGAGGTTCGAAGGAAAATGGTGAACCAGATGATGGCGCTGACGAAAAGTTGGTCACTGGAGATGGTGTAGTAAAAACAAGTAAAGATGCGTCTGAAGTGAAATTTATCTCCATTGATTCCCAGAATGGTGATGCAAAAATTGATATTGAAAATATGAAAATTGCGTTTGCTGGCATGGGCAAGGAAGAGCTGATGAAATTTGCACATGATCCTTTCTGGGTTCGACTCAGGTGGTTCCTTTTCATATTTTTCTGGTTACTTTGGGCAGCAATGCTAGCAGGTGCAATTGCTATTATTGTTATGGCCCCTAAATGTGCTGCGCCAGCTCCTTTGAAATGGTGGGAACAAAGTCCCTTGTACCAGGTGTTTCTTCCAGCTTTCAAAGATGGCGGAGAAATTCTGGGTGGAACTGGAGATCTCAAAGGTGAACTACAATACTGATTTTCAGTAGTCTGATAACATTTTCTTGCTTTCGTTGATAAGTTATGACAGCATAAGAAAAACGTGAAATATAATTATGTGCCCTGTTTTAGTGAACTGTAATGTTTGTTTTCAGGCTTTCAGTCAAAACTTGATTATATTAAGAATCTCGGTGTAAAGGGAGTTGCACTTTCATCAGTTCTAAAAGTGTCTGCTGATGGATCAGATGAGGCTGTTGAGGACTTTCAGGATGTGGACCCACGGTATGGGACTGTTGCAGAGTTTAAAGCATTGATTACATCATTGAAAAGCAAGGGTAAGTGTTGTTAACATGTTTAGTGCTATGCTAATCTTCTATTATCCTAGGCACCGTAACTGCCAGGAAAAGTGAACCATGCTATTTCTTTGTCCATGTACTCATCCAAGTATGTTTTGCATAAAATCTTTCATGTAACATTAAACCATGATAATTCAGTGAAACAGTCTTCATAGAAACTGTGATAGTTGGTTGTGCATGTGACTTTCTTGCAAGTGAAAAATTAAGTTCCATTTAATTTTGTTTTTGAGCTGGTTTTGTTGCATTTGAAGGTCTTCATATGGTGCTGAGCCTTGTACCAAATCACTCAAGCAAGAAACATCCATGGTTTGTCAAATCAGAAAGGAATGACTCACAGTACAAAGACTACTACGTCTGGTCTTCTGGTCCTCCAAAGTACGATTCAGAGGGCAAACCAGAACCACCAAACAACTGGGTATGAAAGAAATATTATGCTAGACTTGATAGTTGAAATTAAGTTAAGAATCAAGTGTTGTGTATCCTTGTATTTTGTGGGGGGCCCCTCACAAGCAGTGGAGCATTGTGAATTATGAAGGATGTTATTCATGTACAGACTGTTAGTCTTGAAGTAATTGTGCAAACTGGCAAACATGTTCTTGTGATCATACATTTTTTTTATTTCTTCTCTTACACAGAAAAGTGTGGTGGGAGGTTCAGCTTGGGAATGGAGTGATATGAGGAAGGCATTCTATCTGCATCAGTTCAGTGTTGATGAACCTGATCTCAATTTCACAAACTCTTTTGTTATAGAAGAATTCAAGGTAACAGACACCAGCCTTTGTGTGGGTAGCAGAAGTTGTGCCCATGTGTCTCTTCCATATTATTTATTTTGAATGTCTTTTGAACTCAATGCCTGGCTTTTATGAAACTTGGCTGTTCCATTAGATGTGACTGTAGTGCCTGCATTATCAACATAACAAGTTGGTGGCTGGAAAACTTTTCTGAGGTCTGTATAAGACTAGCATATTTGGTGTAGTTCATGCTCACTACAACAAAAGAAGAATATCCATACAAACTTTAATGAAAAGCAGCATATCTGTGATGGCAGTTTAGAACAAGACTCCTTGCAGTGTCAGTTGGTTTTGAACTTACTTGTTGCTTGGCAATGGCTGGTCAGTCTAATTAACAGTTCTTCAGCATGAATGGTAGTAGAAACATGGTTTATTTGCATGTAGTAAAGGAGTTTAGGAAAGTCCATTTTATTCTCCACTGGTCATTTCAATAGAAATAAGGACAAAAAGTAACAATCTTGCATCTTCTTGCTTATATTTTCATAATTAATGGAAATTAATGTATAGTATCTAGTAGATAATCTCACCCTCTTTGCCTTTGTATAATTTTCATAATGGAGAGAACACAGCGTTTGCACTGAAACTTTAAATCAAGTTGAGTATTCCAGCTTGGTAATTTGTATGTGACTCTCCTTGTAAGTCCTCATAAAGCATGTTGTTTGACATCTCTTCAGTTTACTCTTTCATGGGTTTTTTTCTCTGTGACTAATATTCTGTTATTTCTCTTGCAGGAGATATTCAAGTTCTGGATGGATCTTGGTGTCTCTGGTTTGCAACTGGAGAAGGTTGAGTATCTTCTGGAAGATTCTAGTAGACAAGATGAGGTTCCTAGGGCTCCACCTGGTACAACTCATGATGAATATGACTTCTACAATCATGCAAGAACAGTGAACCAACCAGGAATTTTGGGGATTTTGGCAGAATGGAAGGAAGTTATCCAGAATTATACAGATGGTACAAGGTGAATTTCAGATTTTATTCAGAACTAGCATCCAGTTGTCTCCTTGTTTCAGTGGTTGTATACTGACCTACACGAATGAATTTCAAGCAGCCTTTGTATCAACTTAAGCAATGGTAAAGGAAGATCTACATTTATTCACAAATTAAATATTTCCTGTGGTTTTGAAATTTATTTAATAAGCCTCCTTCAGAATTAATTTTTGTGGTTACTGAACACCCGTATTTCAGCTTGACTTGTGTATTTGGTAGTTAAGAACTGTGACATTTATGATTTGCAGGATGCTCTCTGTTGTGGGCAATTTACTTGTGGACTCTCTTGTGGATCAAAACAGCAACATTTCCATTGCCCCCGTTGATCTCCTACATGCAGATAGAGAATTTTCGCAGTTGAGAAACAGCTTTAATGCATCTGACCTTAATAAGATAATTCAGAAATATCTTGACAAACTTCCTAATGATACACGTCCAACCTGGGAGGTAAGATTCTTTAGTTTTTTCACATTTTCTTTTATGGTTAAAATAAATCTGTGGGTTTGTTAGATATCACCTGTCTTGAATGGTAACGTGGCTCTGTAAATTACAGACCTATCTGTTCAAATATCATTGGAAAATAAGGAGTGAAAATAAAATAGTCTGCATAAAGAATGGCCATAGTGTCGCACTGTGTCACTTAGTAGGAAAGAGTATTGTGATCATGACAAGTATTTATGGTGAATAGTGGGAAGGTACCACCACCCCACCCCCCAATTTCTTTTATTGGCAGTGCTGTAGTGTCTGAACAAGGTACAGAACTTTAATTCACGTGGACCTAATGTGTAATGAGTTTGAACATCATGATGCAGAATCTTGATTTTCTCAAAAATCAACACTGAGAAACCTTGTGCAGAGTTTATACATATGTTCATACTCAGTTCTAAGAACACGATTGAAACTGATAAACTTGACTGAAAAACAAAACTCTCATAATGTTAAAATGGATGTTAAGGAAATTGGATTTGATTCATTGGGTTCAAGATAGGGGTGTGGTATGTTGCAAATATTAGTGAATGTTCTGATTCCATAAAAAGGGTATGACTGGGTGAACATTACTTTGTCAAGAAGGATTATTTATAAACTCCACATTGTTTTTCATGCACTCCAGATAAATGCTGTGGTAGTGCCTTGAAACAGTCCACGAGTGGCTCATTTTAAACTGTTATTTACCCATGAACTTCACATTTCATAATATGCTGTGTAATATATATAGCAGTGAAGACAGTATAATTAAATATTTAGACTCAGTGAATTTGGTGTCTAAAGTAGTGTTGCGGCCAAATTACTCAAATCATTCTGAATGTGTTATCTTGCATTCAACTTTTCAGCTTAGCACATCTCTGTCGTCACGGGTTGCTTCTCGTCTATCTTCCGATTATGTGGATGCATTGAACATGATAGCCATGCTTTTGCCTGGAACACCCATCACTTTGTATGGAGAAGAGATTGGTATGGAAGATGCTTCAGGGAGTGTGAAACATCCAGCGAGATGTGTCATGTCTTGGAGTAATGCCACTAATGCAGGTATCTGGAATTTACAGAGTTATGAGACTCAGCAGCTGTAGCCTAGCTAAACTGCGGTTCAAATTATATTGGACATTTAAATAATATGGGGCTTATGTGCTTGTCTGATTGTAAAAAAAGTACGTGCATTTAGTGATGTTGAAATTTGAGGTTAGCATAAGGAATGAAAGTATTAGATATAGAATGAATGTTCAAAATTCAATTCTTGATTTTATCCAACAAAAGCAATTAGAATGGTATGGACATACAAAAAGGATGACAGAAGAGAGATTGCCGAAGAAGGTCATGGAATGGGTACCACCTGGAAGAAGGAAAAAAGGACATCCTCCAAACACCTGGATACAGGGAATTCAATCATCAGTGAGGGAGAGAAACATTGAAGAGGATTTGTGGGCAGACAGACAAGAATGGAGAAGAAAAATTAGAATGTAAAATGTTAAATTCAAATGTAACCTTGGTTACCGGAAAAATGTACAAACATTGTTAAACCAGAAATATATATATATGTGTGTGTGAATGTTGGAATGTGTATGGTAAGAGGTTTGGTTTGGTTTTCAATTACAGGTTTCAGTGAGGTTCCTGTTCCAGTTTACCACACCAGTAAAAACTATGAAACTGTAAATGTTGAAGCAGAGACTGCAGCTGCTGGTAGCAGTCTGTCGGTGTACAGGGAACTTGTTGAGGCTCGCAATACACCATCCATCATGTATGGCACAAGGGAATTTGCTGTCATCGGCAATGACACAGTGTTCTCTTTCACCAGGTACACTTGTGACAATAGTTATGCACAGCTGCTGATAAAGGATATGCTGTTTGTCCAACGATCACTTTAAATCTCCTACATATCTGTTGCTGTCATTTTGGTATTTTGTAACAGTAAGCTTGAGATAGTCATAGGTATGTTAAGGGTTGGCTTTGTGATGATGACAGGGCAGTCAGAGAATTCTTTTTTCAGTAATTGTGGAGATATTCCTTCATTATTACTGTCCTGAATTCATCCAAGGCTTAAATTTCTTTCCAAGCCTTCATAATGTGGATCTTAATAGTGCAGGAAAAGACACAGAAGTACAGAACTCTTATTCTGATTCAGAACAATCAAGTAAAAATATATAACAATTTAGCCGTGTTAGCTGAACTTCAAAAAGCCTGCTTGCATCTGTCTCCTGTCATCTTCAAACCTGCTAAGTCTGGTAATTTTTTAAATTGTAAATAAAATTGTGAACTTGCAAAAAGTTAATGTATAAAATAAATAAAAATTACACACTAACTTTTATGTAGGAACATTGTTATTTAATGTATATGTGAGTTATAATTTTGGGCCTTTCTCTTTTCATGCTACCAAGGATTTGGTAATAATATGCTTGCGTGTTGCATTATATCAATTTAATTATCCATGTTATTTGCAAATTTCAGTAATAAATTGGTTGTTTTTTATCACTAGAGGAAAATCATAATTCAGTTAGAGTTATGAAAGGACATATTTGTTTTGCAGGATCAAAAGTGGCAACCCTGGGTACCTGGTTGCTTTCAACACGGCCGACAAGGAAGTCACAGTCAGTTTTAATAAGCTGAAGCATGTGCCAGAGGAGCTTAATGTCTTGATCAAGAGCTCCAATTTCAACAGCACTGGCATCAAAGCAAAGTTAGTACTGTGAACTGTGTTATATGCAAAGTGCATGTCCTTGGAATCCTATTTAAGTGACCCATGTGATAAAACCTATCAGCAAATATTTTTGACTTCCACTGTGCTCACAAGTCATGTTTATTCTTAATACAGAATAGGTAGAACAGAGAAATTCAGCGTTGGGTGATGGAGTCCAGTCTAAAACTCCTTGTTTCTTCTTCTATAGCTCTCCGGTCTGTATTCGGTTCATGGCCTCCTCAATTCTCCTCTTCCATTCGGCTCTCTGTTAGGTCCTTCTGTCGGAGGCTTTGATTGAGGTTTCGAAACTTCTTCCTTTTTACGGTGCAAGGTTGTTAGCCTTGCGACCAACCCCCAACCTGGAGGACCAGGGTACCTGTCTTAGTCTGACCTCTCCCCCTCGACCAATCTGGCTAGGGAGGCCCTACCAGTAACTATGCTACCGCCAGCATAGCTCTTGGGGTCACTGAGGTACTCAATCCCCACCACCACGACAAGGTGCAGGTACCATTAAGTGGGGAAACTCCTTGTTTGCAAGTGTGAAAATGACAGTCCTGCTACATGTTGCTGTTGAATATAATGTGAGAAAGTTACAGAAGTCTAAAGTTAGTCATGTTTTATGCACCAGACAGATGATACTGTTTAATATTCATTATACCATAAAAAGGTTCAAGCCCTTTCATTGGAAAGCAGGTATCGATAGTTTTTGGTGGCCATCAAGAATAGCTGTGCACACTGATGATTAATGGAATATTTTATTATCAACCAATATTTATGTGACCACAAAAGGTATGTAATGTGGACATCTGAGGTTTGTCTGCCTAAGTGTTTGGGTTCAACTGTCATTGTCTTTATCAGTTAATTGTTACCATTAATAAAGTATATATTGAATACAGACTAAGCCTTACTTTCTACTTTAATATTTTATATTGAATTTTCTGTTCTTTTGTTTTAGGTCAAAACTGAACAGAGATTCTGTTTGTTTGTCTGCCAGAGGTGCATTGGTTGCAACCTTTGTACCTAAAGTGGAATAGAACTACTCGTTTTAAAAAAAGAGGTATATGTCATTTTATTTTATAATGTGCATATTTAATTTGATATTTTGCATTTTTAGTGTATTGTATTCCAGGCTTAACATGCATTTCAGACAGATGAATATCTTCATGTAAACCAAAACATTCCAGTTGTATTCCAACAATATTTTATTTTGCTTCAATAAGTCATGTATATGAAAATAAAGTAGTTTCAGCATTGCACAAGTTGTTACAGAGGGATGGTTTCTTCTGGAAACTCTGGTACAAATGTCAGCACCATGCCTCCCTGTCCTGGCATCATGACTTCAGAATTTGATATCCTCTTCCTGAAACAAATTGTTCCTTGCATTCTCTGCAGCTCTTAAGAGATACTTGTATTGTAGGCAAGAGTTTGTTACATTCACAAATTTGTCCAAATAACTGTAGGGCACAAGTATATAAATTTCCATGGAGTGACAGCAACATTTGTACATTATTGGGGGAGGTCAAGTGGGAATCATTACAGCACAGAAACACTTCATGAATAGTGTATGTTTAAGTTAAAAGCTGCTTTGTATCAAAAAGTTCTTTTGGTTGTTGTCCATTGTCTTCTGAACAAAGTACAAAATAACAGTTAATGTAATGTAACACCATTGTCAAAAGCCTTGGAACTCCAATTAAAAGCTGCTGTTTCTTTTACGGCCTGTCTTACATCCATTACAATTGTATCAGTTTTATCATAAAGAAAAAGAACTGCAACCACTTCAGTGAATCCCAATAAATGTGAGAGTACATATAAAACTGACGCATGATAAGACTGAAGAGCTTGGTCATTATAGTCACAGACTATGGATTGGATTACTAGGGTTTGATCCCTGGCAGGGGCAAAGGAGTGTTTCTAGCCTCTGTGTCCAGACCAGGCCCAGCCAGCCGCCTGTCCGGTGGGTATTGGGGTCCTTTCCTCGGGCAAAGTGTGGCTGGGGCATCTAGTGCCAAGGTCAAGAATGAGTAGGAGGTATACCTTCTCTACCCCCAAGCACCTCTGAGGTATGTATTGGGGGTCAACTTTACTGTACTTTTAAAAGATTAACTGAGAATTTAGGAACTGGATAGTTGCAGAAAAAAGTAATAATTGGAGGAAATACCAAATGCGTATTTCATCGTGTGCCTAAAACAGTAATGTGGTGAGTGCACAAAATGCGTTTCCTTTTGATATATTTGAGAGATGTGAATGCATATGAAATTTGGAATGTCATTACATGTCTGTATTATCAAAAGTGTTGAGTATATGTAGCAGTACAAGCTGTTAGCTGTGCTTACTGGTTCGGGTTACATATGAATATTTTGCAAATATTTTACTGGAATGCTTGCACTTACTTTGCAGTGAAACTATGTGCATAAGTTGTGCTGAACACATATATGAAAGACTCATTTGGCACATGGTCCAGCTTTGTTAAGTCCACAATCACTGTATCCACAGCAAAGTTTACTACCACCATATAACCAGGGAAGCCTTTTTTCACCCTGAAATTAGAAGAATATTATAATTTATGAGTCTAGCTTAGTACACAGAACTCTGATTTGATGTTATCACTGATTATGTTAAAACATCTTTACTGTTTAATGATAAAATTAAAACATTCTTAATAGCTAAAAAAAGCCACTGTTTATAACAATTATTAGTGTCCGTTTGTCAAAGGAGCAAACTAAGTTGAAATATTAGACTTTGTATCAGCATATCAACATTTTAAGTCTGTGGTCATGAATATAATTTGTGGACCTTAAATAGCCTTATCTCAAAGACTTTTGAATCTTTACTGAAAGCATCTGTTCTTCATCTAGGTTTTATACCGAAGTACACAGTGAAATTGATTATTAAGACTATTATGAATGTATTCACATTCAGAAAGAAAGAAGGCAAAAGTGTGAACTGATGCAAGTCACACATCTATGTTGTTACCTCTAGCCACATCCGGTTTGCTTGTGTGCATTAAATGGTTGCCAGGGAAGCAGTGACAGTGATCACACTATGAAAGCAGTTACCTGCACTGAGGGAACCACCAGAGTAATAAAAACAGAAGAAAATGGAGAGTTTAAAGAATATCTTTATGAATACTGTCAATAAAAGACGTACTGGATGATCTGAAGAACAGTATATTTATCTTGCTAATTAGCCACTAAATTGAGGGCAAATGAATGGAGTTGGCTCAGGATCATGGCTGGTAGCGGGCTGTGGTGTCGTCGGTGTTGGACCTGTCGGTTCTGCTACCAGCGTGTTTGTTAATTAGCCACCAAATTAGAACTTGCCTGAGGCGAAAAAGTTACTACTTACATTATGTGCAATATAGGTTTATTTTATTTGGATAGATCATCATAAACTCACTTGTATATGTTCAATGCCTATGATTGTTACTAGTGAACTATCAGTTTTGTGTTATTTAATAATGGAATCGTGAGCCATGTACAATATTTCTGTATTCTGTGGTGGTCATATGATAATGATGATGGTGTCATAATGGCATGTTTCACACTTAGTCTACAATGTCTTGATTTCTAACAATGATTTCAGTGTTGCATACCTGGTATAGACCAACACACAGTCCTCCAGAACTCGAATGGCCAGCTCACCATTCATGATGGCCTCAGTTTTTCGTGCCTTGGCAAGTAGTTTGTACACTTTAATATGGCTCCATTTTGCATTCAGCTGAGACTGGACATTTAATGTTTTGTAGTTTGGATTGACTGGCAGCCAGGTTTGATTAGCAGTGGAGAATCCTTTACATAACAAGTTACTGAGTTATGTTCACAGATACAGAATATATAGATCACCAGATTGTCAGCTTCAAAAAAAAAAGTGGGGCACACCATTTGTGTGGAGGAAACTTACTCTGTGATATCAATTCAATATGGTACTTGGCCATTTTTATATTGTCCTATCTCATTTTTAGTCTTCTGAATGGCAACTTCTGAAGAGATGAATATGAAAATTTTGTATGTTACACATTTCATATTTTCCCACCCACCCATGTCTACACACATTTTACCTTGACACTAGAGCAGTAGTTCTAAACCTCTTTCAGAATTGAAGCCACTTTCACTCTTAAGCAATTTATGGGCATCAAGGCATACATGAGGATTACTTATTCAAATACCATTGCAGTTTATTAAATTTTTCATATATTACTCATCTTAAATAGTGACACAGTAATATAACAGATGTATATGGGCAGCACAGAACATATCAGGAGGCCACAGATTTAGAAACCCTTCCCCAGAGCAATTATACGTAATACAGCTTATGCTCTGCGCACTGTTATTGCCATTTCAGACTTCCTTATCCATTATCAAGGAGAGTAGACTATGGGAAAATTAGCATAATTGAGGTTAAGTTGGATGCTGGAAGGAAAGGCAGCTTCTGATTTACCTGTGTTTGCATTCTTTTGAGTTTGATTATACAAACCTGCGTTCATTCCTGCATTCCATTGCATTGGTGTGCGCTCAGGATCTCTCGAGAACAGTTTGTATTTCATTGGCCCAGCATTTATTCCTACTGTGTCCTTTGTTTGTTCCCATGACACATCCGTGTCCTCCATACCCATTTCCTCTCCATTATAAGTGACAGGTGTGCCAGGAAGGAGCAGCATGATCATGTTGATAGCATCCACCAATTCATTCCCAAATCTGGTTGCCATGCGAGAGTTGTCATGGTTCCCAGACTGTATTAAGTAGAATCAAATTACTGTAAATGTTAGAACTGTCAACCAAGTGCAAAAACATGGTTTCTTCCTTTTCAGAATAATGAAAATCAGTTAAAAAATTGTAAAATCCAGTATATTTCATTTATTGCAATTTTTAAGGTTAGTACTGCCACCATACTTGTGGTTCTCAACAGGTAAAATATTTTGTAGAAACTTTTAGGCAGTTTAATAGCAGAAATCCAAAAACGTACGTGATTAGCAGAGGAATGCCATAGATTGTAAAAGTTTCCACTGGTGTTGTGAAACTGCAGGCACTGTTCAGCAATATTTAACATAACAAGGATAAGAGAAACCAGAGCTTATTTCCATAATATTGCATGCATGTAATGTTTACTTAGACAAGGAAGGATCTGATTGCTGAAGTGAAGAATACCCAGGCTACCTTATTATGTTTTCAGTCTTAGAATGTTGGTATCCAGTAAGAAAGTCCAATCCATACACAACTGCTCATTGGAATTGGATGTAACTTACCACCCAGTTGGGCCATGCCCCTTTTGGAAGGTTGTCCATCCAAGTCATGATTGTACTGTATATGCTTTGTGCACTGATATTCTCTTGGCTTACTGATATCAACTCAAAGTTGAATGGAAAGTGGGCAATTGGGTGTGATTTGTTTCCATAATAAGCCATCAGCTTCTCCACTGGCATGTACACTTCAGTGATCATAATTCTGAAGAGAGAGTAAATTCATACATTTTATGTACTCTGTATTATAAATCACTTTCTCAGATGTAAAAATGATAACTCCAAATTAGGCACTTTTTGTAGTAAAATTCTTATAATATATTCAGAAGTATGTAAGTAACTCATATAAGTGACATCAGCATTGTGTTGTTGCTAAATGTCAGTCTCAGTTGCCATTTGGAATAGAGGTGTAGAATGAAACTTAAACACTCGAAATCTTGCACAATTATGAGTTATGAAATTTTACATCTGAGGTACTGAAGTATAGTTAAAAACATGTTTAGCTACTGCTGTAGGATTTTACTGATTTTATGCTAAGAAGACGGTGTCACAACCCATGTAACCACTCTCAACAACAGAATTAATTTCACTGCAGAGCATTTAATAGAAATATTACATGAACAAAATTAAGTCCCTCACCTTCCTTACAAATGAATTCACAGTTCAGACTTTCTACATACTTTGTTCCATTCTCAGAGTTTTTGTCAAGTAGAATCCTGAATTCTCGCAATATATCCAGTACTTTGGGTAGATTGAAGGTGTATTTATGATCCAGTTGACTGTATTCATCAATGGAATCTTCATCCTTCACTGGTTCATCTCTTAGTTCTTCATCTTCCAACAGATGAGCAACTGCATCCATTCGAAAACCATCTACTCCCTGGTCCAACCAGAATTGCAACACATTCTGTGGGATGAAAAAACTTGAGTTATATACACATGAACTACTTCACGACCAAGACCAAGAAACCTCTGAAAAGGAGGCGGCGAAAACCCACAACAGGGGTTGTACAGCCGAGAAACAACAACAACATGCACATGAACATTTTGCCCTTCTATGTTGTCTATATGTGTCATTATGTGTATTTTAGTTATGACATTGTCTATTACCCTCACAGAACTAGTATTAACTGAATCTTTCCTGTTACTCAGCCTTACCTTCATTTCTTGTAAGACCCAAGGATTCCTGTAGTTTAGGTCAGGCTGCTCTTTGAGGAACTGGTGCAGGTAAAACTGGTGTCGCTCCTGGTTCCACTCCCATGCAGAGCCACCAAATACACTTCTCTGCAAAACACATGACCTGTGAGGCTCATAAACTTTTATTCTTTGTTTTAAAAAGTTCTTGAACCTCCCAATATTTTCTACCAGAGACAAAACTCTGTACGCCTACCTCTACTACACCATCTTTTCATAAACCTGTGCCTCTTGTTGTCATTTCTGCATAACTTTATCCATGATTACTGTTGGTGGACAGTGGCCAAATGAAGCTAAATTAATTATACTTTTCAAACACAGCAAGTCCAGACTCAGTAATGCTATATCGTATAAACATCTGTGATGACATTCATGATCAAAATGATTGTGAAGGCCACATTTAGTGTTAAATACTGTTTTGACTTGAATGCTTGGAAATAGAGAAATTTCAGTCTTTGGGCATATAACATGGGCACCGAGTTTATTCAGTACAATTATAAATAAATAGAAATTATTATACTGGAAGGAAACTTGATTACACCTCAAGTCTACTTGGGTCTTCAGTCTTTCTTGTAGTTTTCATGAAAATATTCAGTTGTGACAATTAATGACAGCTGTAGAGAATGTAAATATTTTGGGACATTTTGTATGTGTAGAAAAGACTGGGTTTTACTATTAACTTACCCAGTTGTTGGGTGGGATTGGTGTGCCTTCAGGCTCAAATCCCTTGGCATCAGTCCACACATAATAGTCTGTATAAGGAGCCTCTCTCTTCACAGATTTTTGGAACCACTCGTGGAGATTGCTGGAATGATTTGGCACAAAATCCAGCACAAGTTTTATACCTGTAATGTTACCAATAACATGAAAATTCACCTGATACAGTATAATGCATAAGAATACTCTACAGTAAGCTATACATATGTACAATACATTTACATCTTCATATAATTTTAAATAATGTAGCATCAGCATTTCCAAACCAGTCTTACTACAGTTCCAAGCCTGATACTGTCTGTTCTACAATTTCCACAAACATAATCATGTTTCTTGGGGCCAGACACAGTGTGTAAGTTTGGACCCCCTACACAATTACACCTCATACACTAATACTCCCTCTCCTACCCTATGCCAACACTAAACACACCAGAAGTGCTCAGAAGTCCTTCATCAGTAATTTAAGTTGTAAAAGTATTTTTTATTTATATTATTTTACGCTGACATTGACATTTATTCGTCTGGTCTTTCAGTTACAGTGTTGGACATGATTCTCAGGTCCATATTATTTTACAGAATTTACTTCTACTTAAATAACAAAAGGTGTTTAGGTAATATTATTAGGTGCATGATATAATTACAGCCGCAGATGAGAAACGTGAACATTGATATTAAAAACTGGCGTATATATGAAGTAGAAATAAAAAAATAACTAAAAAATTATGTTTTCATTTTTATGTAGACTGCCCTGTGCAACAGTATGTAGGCCTCTGACAGTTCATGAATTACCTCTTTCCTTCATTGCCCTTGACAGTGAGTGGAAGTCATCCATTGTTCCAAACACTGGAGCAATATCTCTGAAATCCTGAATGTCATAGCCAAAGTCTTTCATTGGAGATTTGTAGATGGGTGACAGCCATATTGCGCCCACACCGAGGTCCTTGATGTAATCGAGTCTCGACTCAATACCTGTTTGAAGCAATCATGAAACATGATAGATAGGTCTCATTAAGCTGTATCTCCACAACTTCTCTTTTAAGAATGTTGTGGTGTAATGTGTAATTAACAGGAAAGTAATGTAATCTGGATTTTTGTAGTATTTGTGTTGTGTATTAGCTGCTTCTGGGGGTCATCACATGGTTCTCCTTTTACTAATTCCAATAAGTTTAAGATATATTTTTCGTCTGTTTTGCTATAAGCATACATAAATATGAGTTTCATTGAAATACATTTCCTCTTTATTTAATTGTGATATAAAACCGTGGTACATAAGTAGCTATTTGACATGCATTTGAAACTTAAAATTTATTGAAACTGGGACATTTTAAACATTTAAATCTCCTCTGATCTCGAACGAGGGGTTGAATGATTAGCAATTCCTATTCACATTCTGTAAGTCCGGGATATAAGTCTCGTCCAGAGACCTGCTATTTTTCATAGTTTTCTTTAGTCCCAGTAAAATGCATAGAAAGCACCTTAACGTAGATCACAGCCACTTTCGTTCCTACTATTTGTAATACATTGATCATGCTGTTATTCGAAGCTATACAACGTGATCTACTGACATCATCAAGAAAGCAGTAAATTCTCCTCTGACGTCCTTATTTCATACTTTTAAAATGTCCATGTTAACATATTATTGGGTGGAGCTCAGTCACAACTTTATTCTTGTTGCCGGTTAGTGCGCCCAGTTTTTACCTTGACAAAATAAGGCGAGAGAACGTACCTAGTATGTCCCCGAACCCATCAGGTGGGTGACTGCCGTCTTGATAAGAAAGCGGATAGACCTGGTACGCGGGGGATAGTTGCCACCATTGGAGGGGTTCCGGTGTTAAACACTTCGGGGTGACCACAACAAGCGTGATGGCACCTGCTAGCATAACCAACCATGATGTCCAGTACGCCACCAGAAGTAAGCACCGGACTCGAACCCACAATGGGCAGTAAGCGCACTCCAACAACTGATCTTTTGTGAGCCCGGTGTAAGGTCCGTCCGTCGACACGTAGCCCTCAACAAGCATGGTGCGTGACTGTCTTGTTTCATTCTGGTACCAGGTTATATTAAGACGAGCCAGCACACCCAACGGCCAACTAGATACCAAGGTCTGCCAGACAGATGTTTTTCAACTACATACCACCGACTACGGATTACCCGAATGGCTCTTGGGCCTACCTGTAATCCGTACCATCATGATATTCACTGAGACAGCATAATGAACTCTACCAGACGTCCTGCTAGCTGAGGAATCATATTGAGGTGTTCATTTTGTATTTCTGACGTAACTCGGATGTTAAAATAATAAGCCGTTGTTTCATGTGGCAGTTATAACCATGAATTAATACCAGATGTGACTGACTTCTTGCTTCTTAAACAGTTCATTTAATTTATTGTAGTCCCGCCATTATTTCAGCTCCAGTTTGATGAAACAGTTCTTTACTGTTGGGGAACGAAATTATGAAATAGATTAATTCTAATATTACATGGTAGAGCTTGGCGTTAATTTCGTATCGATAATATCGTGTCCACTGTTGTAATTTCAGATTTGTTCCTAACACACCTAATATTTTGATACTGTGCCTTGAAGTTGTCACTACTAACTGATTTCCGATTCATAGAACGATAACATAGAATGAATTTTCTAATGATTGATACAGTATATGTCTCACATTGTAGACTACAATACTGACAGACCTGCTAGTCTACAAATATATTTTTTCTGGCATGACTGACGTCTAAGTCAACTGCACGGTTTCATGTTCGTCTATTGCCGATGCTATTTGAGGAGATATGTGACGTCACAGCGCATTTCTGTGCTGCTGTGCATTGTGATGAAATGTTTCGTGTCTGAGAACGAATGTCGTGGATGGTACATAGGTGTGACTTTGTTTGACTTTCGCTACAAAATGAAAATTTCCTGTTTTCGGAAACAGAATACGGTACGGTACTGTCTTCAGAAAAGTCACAAAATAAGAGATCACAGATCGAAAGCTTGATAAAACAAAGAACACGAAAATAAATTAACCTATAACCCTGTTCTCAAACGCCCGCAATCTATGTTATTCGATTGATGTGTGACCAAGTATTATACCCATACAGAACAAAAGGTAAAAATCATAGTTTTATGTTTGTTAGTCTTATACTTTTATGAGATCCTGTTAGACGGGGATGGACCTGCTTCTGTTGTTGGGATGCATTTTAAATGACATTCTGTGTATGTATCACTGTATTTGTCAATGCTTCGTCATCTGCTCAGGTTATATATAATCAATTATAAGAATGATCGTGAATTTTATATTGGGAAGTCCTCGATGGTTACCTGTATTGACCACATCAAGCCTGACAGTATTGTTGGTCTCCGGACCGAGACGAACCCCCATATTCTATGCAAGCGTATAACTGGAAGGGTGACCGGTACTGACGTTGCTTTATTAATCCATATGTTAGGTTCGGACTATCTAATTTTGTCTTGCATATTAGTGGAGGATTAGCATAAGAATGTGTTGTGCTGACGGAATGGTTTCAAGAGTGACGTATCTAGCGCGGTTTAACTGCGACTGTTACGTCATTCTGTATCATACCAAAACCCCTTGCCGACACAATGTAAGTTCATCAGGGCGGCAAAACTACTCATCTGATTAATTCAGTGGTTGTGCAGGATCGTTTTGGAGGAATTTGTAGTTATTAATCTGAACACAAGAGCCCGCCGTTTTATTATATCCTGAGCCGGTTAAACATAGTTCACACTTCCGAAATGTACCCCAGTTTCTGCAAGTTACATTTTAATATTTGCCAGTCCTCTACGTCTCAGCTTCCCAATTTGTTTATTCCATTAAGTTATCCAACCTGGTGGGAAGGGATCACTTGGAAGACGTAGGCAGGAAAGGAGTAAAACATTAAAAATACTTTTAAAGAAATAGAATGGGGAGTGTGAATTGGTTTTGTCTAGCTGAGGATTGCGACCAGTGGCAGGCTTTTGTGAAAATGGAAATGAACCTTTTAATCTTATGAAAGATGGGGAATTTGACTACTCGTGGTTGAACGACTGTTAGCTTCTCAGGGAGGACTCTGCTCAGTAAAGTTATTTTCCCCGTCATGGCCGTAACAAGCTTTGCAGTTTGTAACATAGAGACACGGGGGAAAAACACGTGATGAACCATGTTTCATTTCACTGTTTGAGCAAGCCTGTTACACTTTTAAGTTATATTTGGCACGTCGTCAGTGTACCGCTCCCTTAACCAATTCTGCAACGAGCCAGCACAAATTCAGTATGAACTAACAAGCGGATCGTTTCAGGAGCTAATGAACGATCGAGCGTCTCGCTTGAGTGGTTACCACACCTACTTGTTTTCGAGAAGTCTCGGGTTCGGCTGGCGATTGGAAATTTATCGAGTTTTCTCTGTGTCCCGAGGCAAATTCGATATTATTTTATGTATTCAGTTAAGAAAAGATTTTTAGATAATGTCAAACTTCTCACATCTACCGTTCGTCTACGTCTCGGCGTTCAGCATTTCTATGCTGTTTTTAAACATACACATACCTTTCAAATCCCCTGTCCCGTCTCCATCACTGTCTTGAAAAGATCGCGGATAGATCTGATACAACACAGTTGTCTGCCACCAATCCATAGTCACGAGACGGATAAATAGAGTGTATGTGACGTCAAATATCTCAAACTGGCGCCAACAAGATAAGAGCCCCCATTATGGGACAATTTCCGGATCGCATTGACTCTTCTGGCCCTTTGCCACTTATTTGCATTTCCAGGAGGCTAATAAAACAAGGAGGGCTGCTGTGTGAATTACAATTGCAACTTGTGCCAAATTACATCAATTTATTTTATTCTAAATGGTGTTTTAAATTAGTAACATTAACCCCTGGACCAGCAAAGTGCCGGGTCAAAGAAGAAACTCTTAACTTAGGACCAGTGAATGATAATGGGCTACTTGATTTCGTCCATTCGATATCTCGTGGACTCTGAAACGAAAGAAACAGTCGATTTCCACTCTCTCACTCAAGAACGCATAGCATGCATGCGTTTGAGAGGTAGAGTTTTACTTTACCGTTCGGGCTCTTCCAGCCGATGATCCAACTAGTGCGCTATCTTCAGAATTTTAATGAAACTACATTAAAGCAATTGATTTTCTCTGGTATCGTATATACTCTACAGAATCGGCTGCTTTGATATTATTGCCACAGAGTGTGCGCTGTGAACTTTATTTTCAATCTAAGAAGCCGCGACTTTCCAAAAGCCGCTAAAAACGAATGAAGGCAGTGATGTGACGTCATATTACGGCATGTCGTGCAGTGATGGCGGACGGATGCTGCGGAAAGGCACGTCGAAGTCACCAAATAAATCGCGAAAATCGGAGGATCGATCAACAAAACAGGATATTCCATCAGTGCACAAGAGGAATTTATATTTCGTTTCTTTTCCAGTGATATTTTTATTTGACATTTTGCGTTCTTTGTTATATCAGCTGTTTGTGATATTCAAATACCTATATGCGTCCACATCAAGATTAGTGCACCGTCCAAAGACAAATTCAACTTGCAAAGTAGAGATTGTTATACCGGAAAGTGAAAGTGAAGCTCAAGACTATCCTCAAGATATGTCACAGCTTCACCCGAAACATCCTACCGGTCCAGGTCCCGGCGACCCATTACTAGCCAAACAGAAACACCACCACAGAAGGGCATTTGAATTCATTTCGAAGGCACTAAAGATAGACGAAGAAAATGAAGGTAACCAGTTAGTCTTTTACTATGTTTGAGATTCTACAAACAGTTGCTTTCCTGCAGTGATCGTGTATCATTAAGACATTAAATTACACGACGTTAGTTTCTTGGGTCGATTTAACCTGTTTACATGGAGGATGTCGGATTTTATCAGTCACTAGAATGACAGTTAATTCTTCCCCATCGAGGTTATGAAACGCTGAAATGTTTTCTCGTATAATTGTCGTTTAATGTGTATTCGAGTCTTTTTGAATTTGTTTTGTCCTCTGCGTACTATCACCATAATGCCACAATAAGTGACTTCACTAGTCTGCCCTTGTTACTGTTGTGCTTTTTGACTTAGTCCATATCCAGTTGTCAGCCTGACCAACTTTTCGATCCATGTCATTTTGTTTATTTGTATGTATATGTATGTGTGCAGTTTATGGATGTCTGCAAAGAAATCATATTTATTATAAAGTACACACATACTCAGATTTATTTGTTTTTGTGCTGTTTATGATGTGTGTCTAGTGCTAGTAACAGTACTTTTAAACCCTTCAAGAATATTATATCATAATGCATCATATGTACTATGGGTTTACACTATGTATTCATTCTCCCAGAATGACATTTACAAGCATAAATTTGTGTTTGCCTTTGGCTTGGTTGTTTGCTATTAGAGACTGGAAAACTGTCTTAACATATGTCTTAGAAGTGATATTTTCTTTACAGCAGATTTGAGGGTTGTAGTGTTGTGTCTGTCCAATGTTTGTAATGATTTGCTGTGTGTGGAAATACAAGCCATAAGGTCTGTTAAATCAGAAAAACAAATTCATCACTGACCCAATTATTGTTTTTACATGCTAAGATTGAGGTTCAGTATTGATTTCATGGTTGTAAGTCCAATGAGGAAATGTGACATACACAGTTGAAAAGAGTTTTTATCTGCAATATAAACACAAAAACAACAATTATTCTTGTGTCTTGTTCATTATGAGGAGTCAGTGATTTGGAGATACTTGACACAATTCGAAACGGCAGGGACATTTTCTTTATATTTTCATTTGTCAAATACATTGTAATTCCCCCCGGTCAGAGATCTAACAATAATTGGAAATATATAACTTTTTTAGTGAACAATAAGGGGTGATATTTTTTGTTTGTGTGTGTATCTCCTGTTGCATCACCAACTAATCAGATGCATATTAACACTGAAGACTGTTCATAATGAGAGACTGAAGTGAATTATTTGATTGCAATCTTATGGAGGAGTGTTGGAAACCTGCATGTGCCATACTTAATTATCACTGATAAATTGCCTTATCAGATGCATGTAACTCCTACAGTTGAAACATTGTCATTAAATAACACAAGTAGCAGTCCATAAATGAATGTAAGGCTGTACCATTTGACACCAGAAACTTTTGAAGTTAAACATCGACATTAAATAAATCAAGAAGCATCCCCAAATGAACACAAGTGTAATTACACAGCTGAATTTTTGTTTTTTGAACATGCAATACAAAAAATGTCATTGGTGATGTTTCCAGAGGTGAACCAGAGTTGTTGTTGGCAGGTTTTGTTTACACATCATAAATAATTTGATTACACCAGGTCAGAAGATCTGATGTTTGTAACCATGACCCAAGCAATGTTTTGCAGTCTATGGAAGTGTTAACTATGAAATTATGATTAAACTGCTAATTACCCTTCCTGTTCATCATGGCATCTAATGGGGGTGGCCGTTCGTCTGCAGTACAGGGCTTTGTATAATTATTTGAGCAGTTGAAGGACATAGTGATTAATTACACAGAAGTTGCTACAGTTTGCTGTTTATTGGTTGAAGGGGGAATCTCAGACAACCTTACGCTCTGCTTGACCACATGCTTCCAAAACTAATAATAAGTTACAGGGTGGCGATTTGTATGCAGTGAGACGTGAATATAGAATTGTGTGTTCAGCCATTGCATGGGTAGGAAGTTTTCGGTTCTGGGTTCAAATCTCGGCTTGGAAACCGGCTATTTTGACTGAGGTGTTTTATGGTTTTCCTCGGTTACTCTAGGGCAGAGGTTCCCAAAGTGTGGGGCGCCCCCCCTGGGGGGGTGAGTGGTTTTCTGGGGGGCCTGTTGTTTGTATGAAAAACTTTTTTTTAACGAAATATGGAGAAACATTTCTAACATCCTTCGCTTGATTGAGGCAGTTCAGCAGTGGCAGCCATCAAAACAAAGCATCGTTCTACGATGAACCTGGAAAAACGACCTTAGAGCGGTCATTTCAAAACTCCAACCTCAGTATGATAAGTTATGTTCACAGAAGCAACCGCATCCATCCCACTAATCCAGTTATGAAGCGTATATTTTATTACAGATTTTTTAAATTAAATGCATTGAATAATATATACTAAATTATAAAAAAATGTATACTCATAGCCAAATTTTATGTCAGATCTGTTTGCTTGCACTTGTTCTGGAAAGGGGGGGGGGCGTGAAATTTATGAAATATTTTAAGGGGGGCGCAAGGTATAAAAGTTTGGGAACCTCTGCTCTAGGGTCATTCCGGGGAAGTATCCTGAATTGTGCCATGATTGCGTTCTTCCATATCGTTTCATGTTCATTGCTCGATGGTACGTATTCTGAATTACTGACAGCTGTTTAGTAGGCTGAGATCCCCAGCTTTAAATCACAGTGGCCAGTAGTTTTATCTACAATCTGCTTTTAACTTCGTAACTGCGTTTTGCTTAGAATAAACAGCGATTATATTTGCAAACAGCATTAACCAGTTGGTCTATGTAATGCAGACGCGTTGTATTCTTTGAGGTTTGAACTGAATTTCTACATGCTATTTAGACGAACGTAATGCTTCCAGTGGTTCACATCACAGGTGACATTTATTGCAGGTTTTTTTCCTAGTTTTATATCGTCAAAACATGAAACTTTTATTAGGGCATTCCTTTCAAGAAAATAGAAAAACGTCGTGGTGGCAAAGGAAATTTTGTTTTGTGGTAACTTACAGGCCTAAATGTTCGCTTTTGCTGCATGGTTACACCTTGGTAAAGTGACGTGGGTTAGAATTTACGTATCGTCGCTCTGTTTCCCGAACGGAACGTCGCAGAAAAGGAGGAACACGTTGCAGAGAAACAAATAGTTTTTGAACCCGCAAGACACATCCGTTTGAACCCTGAATTGCAACCGCCATTACCTGTGCTATACGTGTTGCCGCTGCTCTTTGAGATAGGCCGTGAATTGATCTGACGTGACCCAGTTCAGATCGTGCGTGCGAAAGCTGCTTCCATTTTATACATTCCTTACGCGAAGTGCATGAAATGATCGAACACTGGGAAGGTTTGTGCATCCTATTTAGTCTCAAAAATTGCTTTACGAATTTCGCAAAACCGGTTCATCGTACAAAAAAAGTTTGAAGTCCAGGGCCTTGTAACATTCGTAACATGCTATTTTTTGCGTTGAGAAGTAGTTAGACCCCGCCCAACCCCGAAATTAGAGGACTACCCTTTATCGGCTGTCTGAAACTGCATTTTAATATGCTATGTTCGTGGTTGTTGGTTGTAGTACGATGACACGCCCATCCAAACCCAATGCCCATAACGCAGGATTGACGTCGAACATTGTTTACACACGCGTTGCGTGTCATACCTTGGCTAATCAATAGTGGCTGGACCATAATCGTGGAGAGCAAGTGGGCTTACACACTGTGGAAATGATGCGAGATTTCAGGTTCTCACGGCGACGGGTATGTAGATGGCCGTCTTCGCCGTTTTATAATATGAGCTGCTGAGATCGTTGTTAAATAAACTACAGACATACAATTATCATGCAGACTGCATTAGAGGCATATAACTAACGTGGGGTGGATTTTTGATCAAACTATGGACACGAAAGCCCACGTAGTTCTCACAGAATTCACTGATTCCGAAGTATGGATTTGCTTGTTCC